CATTTTGTTTGAAATTGTATTTTTATTACCACGTCACAACCTATTGGTCGAGTTGGTCTTTATGGTATTTGAATTACCTACTTTGTAACTCAACACAGTAATCAGTGTATACAGTGAATATAATATAATAATATATTATATGCAATATACTGACGAATGACTATTCAAAATAATATATTACATAGTAGGTACCTAGCAGCTATAGACTACCATCAGCGCTATTGACTGGTTTTTTTTATTGATTTTTTTTTTTATTGATTTTTTAGTGGTTGAAAGAATACAATATTAACTGTAGTCGCCGAGTACCGAGTTGCGCAGGGCTTAGCGCTTAAAAGCCGGAAAGTGCGTCGTCCAAATGCACATATTGGTAACATACGAAAATAATACATTTAACACGTGAAATTTATATTTTTCACATGAAATATTATTATATGTAATCGCATGCACTCGGTATAAAATACAAAATAACAGTTAACGGCGTGCCGTCGTCTGATCGTCAAAAAATGGCGTTTTCGGTCGAGGCCGCCGCCGCCGCCGCTCTACAGTCTATAATACACACTCCATAGGTATGCACTATGCAGGCAGGTATTGTTTCAGAGCATATGATGATGAAGAAAACAAAAAAAAAAAATCAAATTCCACGTCCTAATAATAAAACAATTTTTTTGTTTTTGTTTACCATAATAATAATAATATAATATAATGCGCGCGGTGTCGACGGACCGCTGCGACCGTATATAGTGTCAAAATAGGACGAGTATCAAAGACATAACATTATATTATTATTATTATATTAGTATGTTATAATAACTTTTATATATCTATATAATATAATATATGTCTTGTCGATTTTACCATCGGAGGTCGTCGTCGTCTCCGTTTTATTATGATGACTATACTATGCTCAAGACCCGTCGTAATCCGTATGGTTCATTTGGTTAATTATTATAATTTATATTTTTTATAGTGTGTAATATTTTTTGTTGGCCAATCATAACAGTATTGACGGTCTCGCTCAAACAGGTAACGACGTTCAAACATTATAAAACGATAGAAATAATAAAATATTATATTAAACTAATACCTACTACATTTTTCAATATTGTAAAAACTTGTATCTCCAAGCCTTTTACAAAAAAAATTGGGTAGGACATCACTTTTTAAAATGGCAACATATCTTTTAAATATATGGACAAACATTTTCGACAAAAAAAAATTTTAGTGTTTGAATTTTTATCTATTCGTTCGCTCGTTTGTAAAGACTTGTAAGACTTTGTAAAGATTTGAATTTTTTACCTATATTTCTTAAAATGTTCATTCGATTCAACAAAGTCAAGTAGTTTTATTACACCAGACATCGAAATATATTTTTTTTTTGTCGACATTTTCTGCCGATAGCAAATTTTCGTGCAACGACGGTTGTTTAACAACACTAAAATGTATTTATTATGTTTATTTAAAATATATTGTTTACCGTAGAAATTACCATGTTAAATATTATAATATTCTACTATAAATGGGCCCACGGTGCTGCCTACTGTTTCCCATAATATACTGGGCACGGGAAAGTCAAGAAATTATAATATAACGGTGATAAATGATCCTACATTCAAAGGCAATTTTTTTTTTTAATCTTGCTTTCACAACGTTAAGTTATTAAAAATGTAATAATTAAAATATTATCGCGATTCTCACGGTATAAATAATTTCAAATGAAATCACAATAGGAATTGAAAATTAAATTGACTATAGAAAATGTAATTTTTACGAGTATTTCAATTCTTTATTTATTTTTTTTTTCAGTGCCTACTGAAAGCTCCTTATGAGAATTTTTTCTTTCCCCTTTTCAGAGTACATATCCACTATCGTACCCAACCGTCGTGCGGAACCCTGTAAAATATAACGGGGAAAAATTGTAATATTACGGTAAATAAGTTACTTTTGTTTTTTTTTTTTTGTTTAGTATACACAAATACAGTGCGAATCGAACCGCCTTGTCAACACACAATTTTCGTTTAACGACTGCGTACAGTTGCTGTGGTGTCGTTTTTTCAGTGAAATCGCACAAAGTATACCTAATATGATACTTTGATTTCTTTGGTCCGTGTCACGTCTTGTTCCAAACATTTGTATAAAAATGTAGTCTCATCAGACAGGCTTCGTCAATCATATATATCTCCACCTTCATCGTATAACCCTTAAAATTGCACAAAAAAATTGGTCCGAGCACGAGTAATTGTCAAGTGTTGGCTTTTTCTCTTTACAGTTTTTGGAGTCATACCACGCAATAATACGCAAAAGAAAAATGTAGTGTTTTAAAAAAAAAAAAATTGTTTTTTCTTAAGTGCTTTTATTTATTCAAAGACACTCGTCATTATTATATGTAATTATTATTATAATTTATATTGATTATAATATTTGTGTTGTTAAATTATAGCTACTGACTTTATTGGTGTACACGCACAATAGGTCATTCAAGGATAAGCCGCACTATTATTTTCTGTTGAAAAAAATAATTGCGATTTTGTAGTTGTCTTTTTTTTTTTTTTTGGACACACTTTAGTGATTTTTTTTTTTTTTTTTGCAATACTCAAATAATAATTATTATTATATTTGAACAGGTCATTTTTCGAAAACGACACAAGTCACAAAATTGAAATTTTACGAAAAACTTCATAACTCCAGAAATTCAACTTATTTTGGCTTATTACACCAGCTAAATAGCTAATTTATTTTGAGGATTTCCGATATTATTCATAATCCATAGTTTCCATAGTACTCCGCCCCTTTCCTATAGTTCTAAACATGTATACTTTAAATTGTAATCATCCAAAACTGGTTAATGGCGACCAGTGCGCAAAAAATGTTCAGCAAATTATTAAAAAACCAATTAAGTACATATTATTGAGTACGTTGCACCGTATAAGTTTCAAAAATCGATAGAGCTGTGAAAAATAGCAAAAAAAAAAAAAAAAATGTAAATATTTGAATACTGCGTGTGAAATGTCGTTGAACAACAAAAATTGTTTTCAAAAAGAAAAAACTAACACCTACATAGTTGCTATTATTGTTTTTAAGAGAAAACGATAGTGTCTGCCCCGTCAATGAGAATCGCCACCACCCTGTACACCATACTGACTAAATATTATTACTATTATTATTATTATTCGTATCACTTTTATTATTTCTGTGTTGATTATTCTCATATTATTATTGTACATAATATTTTTTGTAGCAGAAATAATTGTCAAACGCCGCTCGTTTTTTTTAGAACGCTGACCTTGATGAACGTCGTGTGTTGTGGGCAAAATATAGCCGTACAAAATACCACACTGTTGGTATTTGAATAAAATCCGTACTGTAGAACTGTGTAATATAATACACGTGTATTTATTTATTAAAACTTATTTTTTTTTTGAAGAAGAAGAAGTTGTGTCAAAAACATGTTTTTGGTATAGTCGTTTCGTTTGAAAACTACAAATTCATAGTACCTAATATACCGCCGCTACTACTAAGTTAGCGGTATAGGTAACTTTTAATAAGTTGCTTATTTACATATATAGTTGACCACAACATTAATAGGTAATAGTGCATACATTTTTATTTACCAGCCATACCAGGTACGTATACAGAACGTACAAGTACAAAATATATACCTATATAGAGTTTATTATGGCGATAAAAGTTGGCGAACTAGGAATCCAATGATCGTTTTGGAATAAAACTCTGTTTGGTAACTATTGCGTATGGCCCCTATTAGACTGTGGATTGTGTCTATTGGAAGTAATTTTTGTATTTTTTTTTCTGTCTAAAGGGAGGAGAAAGCAAGCTGTGTGGTGTGTGTGTGTGTGTGTGTGTGTAGATAAATAGAGTGTCAGAGTTGTCTCGGATTATTGTTGGGACCGACGGGGGAAAATAATAATAATAATAAGACCGTTTTCACGGCACCAGACAAATAATTATATTATTAGATATTGTCGCAAGTAAACGACCAGACCGTTGTAGTAGTAAAAAGAACACAACATATACTAAATATTATAGAAAACAACGGGGATTAGGCAAGTTTAGAGCCGGTTGACCGCGCGTTAAACGTGCAATAACCGATAATAATAATAAAAAAAAGTATACCTTATTACCGAAAATAACGTGTGGGAGGTAATAAAAAAAAAAAAAAAAAATACTGCAGCTGCAGCAGCCTGTAACGGTGTACTAATTGGTTGCTGTTTTTGCAAACAAATAATAGGAATATTTATTATGTGGAAGTGTTTCTGCAGTCGGCCTATATATATATACAATAATACCTAATAACGTACAGGACCGCGTACGAATGGCCGTGTACGCATAACAACAACAACAACAACAACAACACTATACACAGCTGCAAATTACTATATTATATATTTTTTTGTACATTCTATTTTCCTCGACGCGCGCACAAGGAGAGTAGGTACTACATATATACATATAATTCCCACGGTCTGATTTCAACTACATAACGCGCGGTTCACAGACCGTCGTTTACTTAATACTACTCGTTATATTATTGTTATTATGTACACACACACACACACACGGCAATAATATTAATACTATTGAGCTGCTGCTGCTGCTGCAGCTGTGTAATTTGTAAATATTATATTTTATTATATTATTTTCCTCGTGATAAACAACGCGCATTGTGTTATCAAACAATTATTATCGTTTTGATAAGACGCTGCTTACGGTGGCCGCCAACGGCAACGTCTTAATATTTTATACACATATATATACAGGTATATTACACCTATACATGGGGTGTACTGTTTACGTTCGGTATAGTGTACTCTATTATTGAGGTGTTGTGCAACCCCCACCGGCGCACAGCAGCGCGGTTGCAGTTTGTTTTGTGTGTGTGTGTGTGTGCCGTCTTGTGAAAGGTGGTGGTGGTGGTGGGCAAGACAATAATAATAATAATAATATGATAGTATCATAGTGTATAGGTGGTAGTGGTATCGGCGCGGCGGCGGCGATTGTTGTTTGCGTTGCAGAACTGTGTGGTGCACCAGTATATATATAATAATAATAATAATAATAATATACAGAGTGAATAATACAGCGTGTAATATATATATATATATAGTGTATAGTTGTTAAAATAATATAGTAGATGCGCCGCGTTGTGATATTACGAAAGTGCCACCACGGTATACATACACGCGGGTTTTTGGTGGGGAATTTTTGTATTGTAAAAGATTTGTGTGTGCCAGTAGCTGCTGCTTGTGTGTGTACACCACATACACACTTTCTCGTGTACAGCCGATATTAAACATTATATATTATTATCACGGGGTATCGCGGTTGTTTTGTGTGCGCTGTGCTGTGCTGTGCTGTGCGGATAGTAATAATCGTAAAATCCGGTATTGAATAGTAATTAAATTTTTATTCGTACACACGTCGTTAGTGTCGTCGTCGCGTTTGACTTTTAGAGAAGAAAACACACACAATAAGTTGTAAAATATATTTTTCACGACTCTTGGAGCTGCTGCTGCTGCTGCTGATAACGATTGGGACGACGATGGTGCGTTTGCGGGACAGACCAGCGTTCGGTGCAGACTCTCGAGCGGCTTAACGACCGGATTAATGAATTAATCAATATTAATTACCCGCCTGCAGCTACAAGTAATAAAAAAAAAAAAAAAATACACACAATTTTTCCCGTAACATGATCAGCGTTCCGTCGTTCCGATCATGATTGCCGTCGATTACCGTTCGGCTGCTGCTGCTGCTGCTGCAACTGTTGTTGTTATTACCTGGCCACGAGCCCAAACTTTCAACCATCGCCACCACCGGTGTATGTCGTCGTCGTCATCGTCAAATTACGTTGCCCGACGTAGGTGAAAATACAATATTTGTGCAATTATTGACCAAAGAAACGGAAAAAAATGCCCGCTACCAGGACTGTGCAATTTATCGCAATCGCCGCTATCGTCGTCAAGTGCACGGTAATTTAAACACACAATGTTCCAATAAGTATTACCACTTGCACCTGTTATGCATGCACAGCATTACATGCACTTGTGTTATATATAATATATAACTCTTTGACGTTTTTTCTTTTTTCTTTCCTATAGTTGGCTGCCGATCTTGCAATACAATTGCCTCGTCAAGGTTCGTCGTCCGTAACCGGTGGATCGTATAGGTTAGACTATTCACCGCCCTACGGACAGCCACCGGCCAACACGACAATAACTTCTCAGGATATAGGTGAGCAATAGTCGATATTTACACTTTTTCATTTTTTTCTTATCTCATTGTGACAAACATTTTCAATTTTTTACAACAATTTTTAAAACATTTTCTCATTACAACCACTCAATGTGTGTACCTACCCAGGTGATGTTATACACTTTTCGCAAGCTTTGCCCGGTACGCGATACGACTTTTGGCTGTACTACAGCAATAGCACTGGCGACAACAATTGGTTACTCACGTGGACGGCGTCGATCACTACAGGTATAGTTCAATAGTATAATAGCTGTGTGTTTACCCCCCTGTGGAATTTAATTAATACATTTTGTTTTAAGCTCCCGATCCGCCGACAAATTTGACCGTGCAAGTGAAAGGCGGAAAAGTGGCACACGTCTCTTGGTCGCCACCAGCGTCGGGCAACTACGACAGTTTCAAGCTCAAAGTAAACACAACTCACAATAATAATTATTATTATAATCACATTGTTGCTAAATTAATTAATATTGTCTTTTATTTGCCGCTTAAGTGTATATTTTGTATCTTAAACGCCAATGTAATCTTAATGGTTGTATCTTTATAAGTTATATATATATATATATATTAATTACAAAATATCAGGTAAATGGATTGTCGAGTTCACTGCCGGCGTCCGAACAAAATATCGGCCGCGTAATCGTCGTGCCTAGCGTGAATCCAAACGATTCCGACAAAGGGGATTCGCCGCCGCAGCCACAACAAGCGGTGCAACAGTACGTGTTGAAAGAATTAACGCCGGGCGCCACTTATCAGGTGCAACTTTTCGCCGTGTACGATCGCAAAGAGAGCGTGGCCTACATATCGCGCAACTTTACCACGAGTAATTATATTTTTATTCTATTAGAAAATACTGCCGCGCTTTAAGGCGATATTTTCAAAATTCTTTGACGTAATATTTAAATGTTCTTGTTTTTTTCTTCTTTTAGAACCGAGCACACCCGGAAAGTTTATCGTTTGGTTTCGGAATGAAACGACGTTACTCGTTTTATGGCAACCCAGTTATCCGGCCAGCGTGTTTACACATTACAAGGTAACGATATTTAAAATATTTATAAAATTTACATTTTTTCCCCCCAGTTTTATGTATTAGAGTAACTTGGAATTAAATGTACTCGGTATTACTCTTTCTATAATAAAATTATAATTTATAGTTATTTAATACAAATCAGATATATATTTTTAATGTTTTATGAAACGAAGCAAATATTTATTAAGTTTATTTACTTTTGTTCTTTGAATTCTTAAAAATTTGTTGGTTCTTCCTCTTTTTTTTTTTTTTTAGACATTTAGTAGAGTTATAGTGTATCGACAATGCTATTTTTTTGTTTTTTTCAGGTCAGCGTCGAACCACCCGATTCGCCAGAATCGGTGTTGTACGTGGAACGGGAAGGCGAACCGCCGGGTCCAGCGCAAGCGGCTTTCAAAGGATTGGTGCCGGGTCGTGCCTACAACATAAGCGTGCACACGGTGAGCGAAGACGAAACTTCGCAGCCCACCACGGCGCAGTATCGCACGATACCGTTGCGTCCGACCAACTTGATTGTCGATCATCGACTGACGGGATCGTATAACGTTCGCGTACGATGGGATCCTCCCAAAGGCCTCTGGTAAGAAAATAACGGCAGCAAATCGACATGTAAAAATTATCGTCGACCGGTTATTGGTCATAACAGTTTATTAGTTCAAATTTTATGTGCAATTTTAAATAACCCACTTATTTTTCTCCTCTAGCGAGTTTGACAAGTATCAAATATCTGTCAACGCTGTGGCGGCGGCTAAAAAGTCTACAGCCGTTGTGCCAACGCAACAACAACAGTCCACTCCGATAACGATTGCGCGTTCGCTTACGAGCACCGACCTCAACCACGACATGGAACCGGGACGCACGTACCAGGTTTTGGTGAAAACCGTCTCCGGAAAAGTCGCCAGTTGGCCGGCTTCGGTCAACGTCACTCTCAGTAAGTCTTCAACGCTACAGTGACTTTTTCTATACCCTCTGGAAATAGTTGATAATTTTATTTAAGTAAATGAAAATTTAATTTTCTTTCCTTTTTCTTTGCAGAACCTTTGCCGGTGATTGATTTGAAAATAGCCCGTGTAGAAGACAGCGTGTTAACGTTGCAATGGGCACCGGATTCGGCTAGCTATCAAGACGCTTACCAAGTGGCGTACACCGAAGTGGTTTCCAACACCGGCGCCGGCATTGGCCAGTTGCCCGGAGCGACAGAAACGACGGCAACGGTCGTCGCGGCCGGAATAGGAATATCCGGCGGGGTCATTCAACAACAACAACAACTGCAGCAGACGAGCGCATCTCAATCGTCTCAACAACAACAGTCGTCTGCCGGCGCGGCCGACAGCAATGTGATAATCGTGCCGGCCGCCAATCAAGTGACAGCCGATAGCGGCGGCGGCGGCACAGGTGTCGGCAATTCCAACAACTTGGTCGAGTGCACTTTGGACGCTCTGCTACCGGGCCGTAATTATTCCATAGCCGTCCGTGCCCTCAGCGGAACCGGAGTAGGACTTGCGGCCAGCAACGATACCATAGTTTATCACACGATGAGTGAGTGCATTTTCCATTACATATTATAATACGTAACTAGGTTTTTTTAGAGATTTTGTCATTGTCAAATGTATTCTCCCAATATACAATCAAGTGTGACTGTTTTATTAATTGTGTTTTATGTTTAGAACCTTCGGCACCGATAATAGAAGATCTAAGACCCACCATTGACTACGGACTGAACGTGTCTTGGAAGACGGACGTCAACAGTCGACAAGAGACATTCCAAGTGGTGTGCCGTCGTAACGATACAGGTACTGTGTACTGTAGTAACAATTAAAAAAATTATGACATAGTAAAAAATGATAATCATAAAAAAATTATGTACAACTAAAAAACAATGTATATACAATTACACGCTTGTTGTTTGTAGACGATATTCCGATGGTGAGAATCACGAGCGAGTGGCGTGTATCTTTGCGACACTTGTATCCGGGTGCCGCTTATCAAATCAAAGTGTTTGCAATCAGTCACGGTTTACTCAGCGAACCGCACGATTATTTCCAAGCAGTGTGTAAGTAGCGGTTATGTCGATTTGTTGTGTTCATCGATTTATAATATATTTTAATGTGTACACAGGGCAAAACCCTATATGTGCATACTTAAGTATATTATGTACTCGGGTATATATATTCGTGTTAAACAAATATTGACCACTTAACTTTTTTCAGACCCACGTCCGCCCGTCGACTTACAAGTGGAAAACATCACGGCGGCCGGTGGCGCCGGATCGGTATTGATTAAATGGAACCGACCCGTCGAAGACGGCGGCCTGTTCACAGAGTATTCCATTAAGTATCGTACGGTCGACAGCTCTCAGTGGATACGATTGCCGGGCGTACCGCCCGGCGTCCAAGAAGCCGAAATCGCCGACATGACTGCCGGTCAAAGGTACACGATTCAAGTGAACACCCAGACTTACGGAGCCCTGGAATCGCCGTCTCCTCAACAAGTCAACTACACCATCAGTAATATACATACTTTGTTTTTATTTTATTTTATCGATTGACTTTCTACGTAAAGTCAATGTGTTCCTATTTAACATATAATATAATCATATTATGACTAAAACCGCTATCATAAAAATTTTAGGGCCAAATCCAATAACCAATGTCGCTCTACTGGTGGACGCCGCCAACGTTACGCTGACGTTTCCTCGGCCGGAAGGTCTTCTCGAGTACTACACCGTCCAGTGGTGGATACTGGCCGATCATTCTACGCCGGGACCTACGTCGTCTTCTTCGACCGAGTCGGGATCCGGATCCGTATCGATCACAACGGCCGGCAGTACGGGCGGCTCGAAAAACGTATCGGACTCGGCCGCCACCGCCACCAGTGTTGCCGCAGTCGGCGGCCAAAGTTCTGCGACAACGATGATTAGCTTGAGCGTCGACGACCTAGTGCCGGGCGCCAGGTACACTTTGCGCGTGCGCACTACATCGCACGCACTGCACAGCGATTACACCCAACTGACGGCCAATACGAGTGAGATTCGCACACCCTTTTTACAACGCTTAGATTTCCACGACGATGGCCATGTTTATATTTAACGCATTGCATTTGTTGTGTGTCTCTAGTGCCGTTGATACTGTCCGAAGTTTTGGCCGTCAACGACCAACACACTACGGACACGCTGACACTGCGTTACACGCCTACACCGCAAGTGGCGTCCCGCTTTGAGAAGTATCGCTTCCAGTTGGCGTCGGGCAGCAATTCTCTGACGGCCGACGACGGCAAACCCGCTCAGTCTCTTATCGCCGAGAAGTTGGCCACCGACAACGAATGGAAAGTCACGTGGCAGGGTCTGACGCCCGGACGCCTCTACGACATAACCGTGTGGACGGTGTCCGCCGAGGGTGTGCTCAGTCAGCCGTTGCGGCGTCAAGACCGCTTGTGTAAGCATAATGTAGCTCTTGTGTGTTACTATGTAATTTTTGTATCATTGCTTTCCTCTTAATTGCAATTGATATTATTAGCTACTTTATTGAAAAATTATTTTTAAGTGAATCTACTTTTTTCAGAGGCATTTAGAGTAGGTTACTTTTTATAGCTAAAATATATTATTGTGACAATGACATACAGGCTTGTTAAGAAGTCACCCAACAAGCAACACTAATAATTTGATTACTTTAATTATTTTCTTTGAGTAATTTTTTCATGTATAATAAGGCTTAAGACTCTTGCCTATTCCTATAGACTTGTTTCATTATTAATTGCATGCCATATTTTGTCTTGCCACACAGATCCTGAGCCCATAAGCGAATTGAACGCCACTCACATTGGACGCGACGCGGTGACGTTGGCGTGGCGCGTGCCGCGCGGCCAGTACGACGCGTTCCAAATCCAATACCTGCTGGAAGGCGACAGCGACTCGCCGTCGTCCACGTCCAGCTCTACGCTGGCCCAGAACCTGACCGTCGACCCGTGGTTCGACGTGCGCGGCTTGCGGCCCTACCGGAATTACACGTTCACCGTGGTGGTCCGCGCGGGCGGTTCGACGGCCGCCCAAGCCGGGTCGTCTCCGGCGTCGCCGTCCGCCCCGAACGCCGCCGCATTGTCGGCCAGCAGCGCCGTGTTGAGACGCAGCGTACCGCTGTCGGCCACGTTCGCCACGCTGGAGTCGGTGCCGGGCGTGCCGCAGCGGTTGGCCGCCACCGACATCCGGCCGCAGCAACTCACGCTGGAATGGTTCTTGCCCGACACCGACCACAACGGCGTGCTGCTCCGGTACGTCGTCTCGTGGAAAGAGTTGCCTGGTTCGGGTCCGGCGGGCGTGCACGACGACGACGGCGATGATGACGACGACGACGACGACGGCGGCGGCAGCGGCGGCAGAGCGGTGGTCTTACGCGGGCCGGACACGCTGGCCGGCGGTCCGCCGGAAGCCGAGGCGTCTGCGGCCGAGGAAAAAACCATTTACCTGGAATCGTGGCGGAACCGTGCCACCATCGGCGGCGGCGGCAGCGGCGGCACGACCGGCGCCGGCGGTACCGTCAACAACAGAGGCGGAGCGGCCAGTGCCGGCCTGATCCCGGGCCGGGTGTACCTGTTCACCGTGTGCGGAGAGACGCGGGCCGGACGAGGTCGAGTGGCCCACTTGCGCCAACGCATGCCCATATTAGGTATGCACACATAATGTTCTTGCTACTGATTTTCGGACACTGCAGCTAGCAGTATAACGTTGCGTTCAATTGTATTGTTGCTGCCATACAATATTTCAGTGTCTCTTATGCAGTAGCATATTCGTCTTGAGTATAGTTTTTTTTACCGGGTTTTCAATCGAGAATCGAGCGTTTCCAATATGTATTTGTAATCTTGTTGTACTTGTACTCGTTTCGCAGCGCCGCCTAAACCCAGCGCCCAAGCCGTACCGACCGAGGTCAGCCGCACCCGACAGTCCATACAAGTGCGGTTCCGGAAGAATTACTTCAGCGAAGCCAACGGCGCTGTGCTCGGTTACACCGTGATCGTTGCCGAGGACGACGGTAAAAACGCCAGCGGTCTGGAGATGCCCAGCTGGAGGGACGTCCAAGCGTATTCTACTTGGCCACCGTATCAGGTAGAGCGATAATACAACACATAAGTGACACTAATTGTCGGTCCGTTGTTTGCTCCTCGAGTGTTGCTAATTTGTTTTTTTTTTTACTTTGTACAGGTGTTGGAACCGTACACACCGTTTTCACACAACAAAACCGTCGAGGACTTCACCATCGGCCAAGACCACAACTGCAACAACAACAACAACGGCGGGGGCGGCGGCAATTACAACAGCGCGGTGTCCAAGTCGTTGTCGCTGTCCAGCTATTGCAACGGCCCGTTGAAGCCGGCCACCGTGTACCGTGTGAAAATCAGAGCGTTCACAGCACCGGACAAGTTCACCGACACTTCATACTCTTTTCCCATACAGACCGGTGCGCTGTGAAAATATATATAAACATATTTTAATTGTTTAAATTATTTATTATTGATATAAATATGATATTATTACTATGTACTATGCTAACGATACGCCGTGTACGCTTTAGATCAAGACACGTCGTCCAGCACGGGCACGACGGCCGCCATCGCGCTCATAGTGGTGTTCGTGTTGTTGATGTTGTGCGCGGCGGCCGCCTATTCCAAGTACAAGAAAAATGTGACCAAAAACGCGGGCGGCGTCGGCAAGAGGAACGTCAACGGCGTCGGCGGCGGCGGCGGCCAACAGAGAAGGACGGCGGGCTCCAAGTTTTTCTCGGATTCCGCTTTCCCGCCCCAGAGGAACACCCTGCTGGGCGGACCCGAACTGGGTTCCATCCAGCAAGGCTCTTGCGACCTACAAGTCAGGTACAAGTCTAGAAGTTAAACGCTATTTCTGTACACACACACAATACGTGCCTATTTAAGTGGTGACTTATTGCCGCCTTGTTGACTTTCGCAGCAGACCGGTGAGGGCCGACAGGTTCGTCGAGCACTACGCCCAGATGTCGGCAGATTCGGATTTCCGGTTTTCCGAGGAGTTCGAGGAGCTCAAGCACGTTGGCCGACAACAGCCGTGCGCGGCCGCCGACTTGCCGTGCAACAGGCCCAAAAACCGGTTCACCAACATTCTGCCGTACGACCACAGCCGCTTCAAGCTGCAGCCCGTCGACGACGAAGAGGGCTCCGACTACATCAACGCCAACTACGTGCCCGTAACTATCGCCACACAACACCCTGCCATAAGCTATACACTAGTGCTATACAGCCATATAGCTATAGCGGGTACACGTTCTGAGTGTATGGGTTTGTTTTTCGCAGGGCCACAACAGCGTCAGGGAATTCATAGTGACCCAGGGCCCGTTGCATTCGACCCGCGACGACTTTTGGCGCATGTGCTGGGAATCGGGCACGCGGTCCATCGTCATGTTGACGCGGTGCGTGGAGAAGGGCCGCGAGAAGTGCGACCACTATTGGCCGTACGACACACAGCCAACGTACTACGGCGGCAGCGACGGTGGCGACGGCGGCATATGCGTGACCCTGTTGAACGATTCACATTACGCCGACTACGTGATCACCGAGTTCATGGTGTGCCGGGTGAGTAGTGTCAACGGTGCACACGCTCTGTGCCTCCTGTGCACGATCGATAATTATCAATCATTATGTATGGAAAACATGTTCTGAATTTATATTGTTTGCATTTTGTCCAGAACGACCAGAAGAGGGTGATCCGGCACTTCCACTTCACTACGTGGCCCGACTTTGGTGTGCCCAGTCCGCCGCAGACTCTGTGCCGTTTCGTCCGAGCGTTCCGTGACCGCATCAGCACTCCCACCGGCATGAACGCCGCCGAACAGTCTTCACAACACCGTTGGCCCATCATAGTGCATTGCAGGTGTGTGTCACATCAACAACTACACTGACCTACTACTAAGTGTGTGCCTACTGGATTTTTTTTTTTTAAATTTTAATCTTTTTTGTAGCGCCGGAGTGGGCAGATCCGGCACTTTCATAGCGCTCGACCGTGTGCTGCAGTCCATCCAAGAGCCGCATCATCCGCCCGGCACGTTCTTGCCGCCGCACACTCTGGCCACCAAGTACATTGACGTGTACGGCATCGTGTGCGCCATGCGCAAGGAACGCGTTTGGATGGTGCAGACCGAACAGCAGTACATATGCATACACCAGTGCATCGTGTCCGTGCTGCAGTCGCTGTTCTCGCCGGACCAACAGCTCAAGGAGCAGTACCAGTACGGCGGCCAGTACCGTCTGGACGGCGTCGACGACGAGGACCTGATGAGCGGCGGCTCGCTGATGATATGTAGTAACACGGGAGTGGCTCACCACAATCGGGCGTTCGAAGGTAAAACCACCACTACGATAGGCTTGTTGAGGTTGAGGTCGGCACTGGTCGTCCAATGGCTGTTGCTGACGTCGGCCGAAAAGAGTTTGTGGTCGTCGCAGCGGAGCAAAAGAGGAGCCGGCGGCGGCGGTGGTGGCGGTGTGGCCGCGGCCGGCTTAAGACAAGGGTTGGGCTTCTTGAACCTGCACGACAACGACAACGTTGTGACCACGACGACGGCCACGACGACTTCGAGCGGTCAACGCGGTGCCGTATGTACGACCACCGTAACGTCGATGATCGACCGCGGCAACGACGTATCTTGGTGGTCGCCCCGTTGGTGGTACCGATCGAAAGACAACAAACGCCATAGGGTCTATAAGTTGTAGCCGACGGTGGTGCGTAGTGCGCACAAAGAGACCACACCGATCGGACGAGGAGAATAAGTAGTAGTAAAATTTGTATATGTGTGTGTGTGTGTAAATTAGGTGTCGGTAACGATTCGACGAAAACAACGGTTTGACGACGGCTGCTGTGTGTCGGACATCAGTGTCAAAGTATCGCTATCGAGACGAGAATGTGTATTTTCTTATTCAAAGCGAGAAGAGAGTGTATGTATAGGGTCTTCTATCTGTTTTGAGTCTTATGTGGTTGTGTAATGTGTGTGTGTGTGTGTGTGTTTTTTGGAGAATATTCCTTGAAAAAAAAAAAAAAAAAGAACTTCTAAACATTAATATAATACTAAAAATGTTTCTTTTTCAAATGCGTTTACAATATGCGTCTCCGAGAATGAAATATCTGACTGCCGTGTGTAATAACATAATAATAAATGTGGTACGTGACACTCTTGACCTAACCTTACCCTCTACGTAGCTGTTGAAGCGTTTGTGTGTGTGTGTGTGTGTTTTGTCGCTATTTAAGTATAATAATAAAACAGAAATACTAGAAGCTTTAAGTTTTGCATTGGCTCTAACGGCTAACGGCCTATAGTTAACTACCTTATAGTACACGCCTAGTGTGTATTAACTACTACTACTATCTCTAATATGTACTTACTATAGCTGTTTAGACAGTAATCAGTAGAACGATTATTTTGATATTTTTTTTTTATAACGCTGTTGTTGTAGATTAGTGGGCCGGTGGTGTAGCCGTAAAGGTGTTACTCTATACGTGTACCCCTCTGACCTCTCACTTGTAATAAGTATTAAGTATCTCTTTAAGTGTGCTTGTCGCCAAAATCGCGTACCGTCATGGTATACGGTGATTGTACACATGATTACACATGTTAACCGTACACCCTTACGACTACACCGCCGAGTAACGATGGGACCTACGATGAACGGACAGTTGCTAAAAAGCATCGATAAGCACTTGTGTATGAATTATCATCTGTTGTCCGAACATCCAAAGTCCCAAGTCCTATTGTTGTAGATTTGTGTTGTTGTGTTCTCGATTGAAAATCTTGATTTCAATTTACCAAAAGCTTACGTTATAATATATCGTGTATTGTTGCTGTTGCAGATGACGAAGGTATCGCCGAATCGGGAATGTAAATTCCAAGACGACACGTACAGAACAAATTTAAAGAAAACAAGAGCAATATTATTTTATACGATACAGTATTATTATGATGAGTACAATATTATAACAAACACAAAACAGTATTATTACTATCGATCAATTATGTCGGGGCAATAAAAGTATTTTCATGTGTACAATATATATATGTTTAGGTATTACTATATATATATTTTTACATATATATACATAATATATAAATATATGTTTATGTATTTTTTTTTTTTTTTCGTACCATTGTAAAGTATTATGAAACGCATTTATTTTTTAATATATTGTATCTTCCGTTTATATCTATAAAAATAACTATTTTTATTATTATTATTTTTTGATACAATTGTAAAACCATTTGTACCTTTTTGTATTATTCGTACTACCTATTATTATTGTATTATTATTATTATTATTATTGTTTAATATAAAAACTTGTAACGATAATGGGCGCTTCAATTGTTTTTGTTTTGTAGATTAACTAACTGATTTTTTTTTTGTAAGATTTTGTCCAATTTTGTTTCGCGATATCTCCTTTGTCGTAAGAACATTTTTTACTTTTCTCGTTAACAATTTTAAATCGATTGATTACTGACAAATGCTGGAAAAATGGTGGCTTTTTCCATCTTTAATGTACCTTTTCTTAAAACAATTTTAAATCCTGGCCAAGTTAATGACAGTTAATAGACTTGGACCATTATACCATCAATGTGAGGTTCAATTTAAATACTTTTTCAGAACAACAAAGCTAATAAATCAAATACACATTTTTATTACACAATTTTCAAATTGGCAAGTCGAATAAATGTATTAACAACACTATTTGAAATTTTAGGAAATAAATAATTCAATATTTACAACGGTAATTACATACGTATTAATTGAAAACATTTGGTGTACTAAAAAAAAAAAAAAGGTATTTTAAATAATTCGTTGGTTGTGTTTTGCTATAAAAATCAAAAATTGCACTCGACAAAAGATATTTTGATCGACAAACGGCGATTTACCAAGATGGAAAATAATAATTGGCCTACTTAAGTGTGTGTGTAAGTGTTAGTAGAATTCATAATAATGCGTTTCTTTGTCGATTAATATTGGAATTTGGATAAACGTAAAAATGTATTAATCGCGTTGTTAATTACCGTTTTATACAGTTTGTTCGAATCGAGTAACGCGCGACAACGCAGAAATGTGTGCATAATTGCCAATAAAAATGCCTGTGGCGGCGATTATTGTATTTTATTAAACATTTTGTAATTATTTACAGGGGAAACGGTTGTTGTTTCGAAACGTCGACTCGATGACGGGGAGCTGTTCAATAATAGGTAATTGGTCTATCCGTTTATGCATTTGGTTCGATTTATTATGTCTATAGCTATCGTGGAGGTAAAACCGTGGAAAAAATCCAACAGGTATGTCGTCGCGTTATCAACGTTATGACAATGGCTACCGGTTCAACGGCCGCGAGGCGAATACACGGCGGCCATTTTGTCGGTTATCACGCTAGGGGGCGCCACCGACTTACCTGTTCGGTTTTGCCACGGTCAGACCAATCGATATCCTTCTTATCAGCTATTGTTTACACTCTACGCGGCTGTTATCAGCAGAAGCTGCTTAATCTGCTTTCGTAGACAGAAATATTAATATGCAGCTGACGACCGTGCTGTGGACTGTGGTGTGGTGTGTGTGAGGAGAGGTAGGTATTTTGTGAAAGTAGACAAACCAAAAATAATTGGTAATTTCTTCTTTTTTTTTTGGAATCCCATTATAATGAAGCGTTAAATTTTTTTTTTCCTCCACTAGCGGTACACCGCCGTCGCGTTTCTGTTGTAGACTATATTATTATAATACACCTACCTACCTACTTTCCCATTTCCACAGATAACCGTTATTATTATGCTGACTGATACCAGAATCGAGCACACAGCACAGTCGTAGTGGTGGCACGGTATATAGTGGAGACGCGAGGAAATTTTTGGAAAAATAACTGGTAAGAAAAACAAAAAATACCTACAAATTATGTATAATAATTTTTCACCATATTCATCCGTCCCAATTTTTATTGTTCTTGTTGTTGTTGTTAACAGATCATCATCATCATCATCATGTTTGCCCGAGTAACGTTTTATCCTACCCTGTTGTACAATGTGTTTATGGAAAAAGTCACCCAGCGCAACTGGTACGATAGGATTGACGAAAATGTAATTTTAGGCGCGTTACCATTCAGAAACATGAGTCAGAAAGTAAGCCACGGTGGTTGATTACTATTGAAAACTATCGATTTCTTTATATATATAAATAATTCCTGTTCTACAATAATATTATAACCGATGAAATTGACCGTGTTTACAGCTGGTCGACGAAGAAAACGTAAGGTGTATAATTTCTTTGAACGAATCCTACGAACTGGAACATTTCACTCCACAGCCTGAAGTAAGAAACACCGCTTGTTTATTTCCGTAAAATTACAGTAACAATTATTAGCTATGTCACGAAAAATGACAAATGTAACAACCGGTAAAATTTAACAACAAACAATGGCTACTAAATTATTTGTCGTCGAGTATGAATTAAATAATTTCTGTTTATACAATTTATCAAATGTGACAGTTGAGTAACAGTTTTAATGTCGGATGGTGTTAGGTTAGTTTGTTAGGGAATATAGTTAAATAGTGAACATATACGGTTTCTGTTAAAAATAAAATAATATCCGTTTGTATTTCCATAGGAATGGAAGAAAATGGGAGTGGAACATTGTCAGTTGAGCACGAGGGACATATTTGAAACTCCGTCGCACGACAAGCTCATCCGTGGCGTTTCGATTATAGAATCGTTTTCAAACGACGGGAAAACCGTTTACGTTCATTGCAAAGCCGGCAGGACACGCAGTGCCACTCTTGTTGGATGTTACCTGATGAATGTATGATAATATGCTAAATTTTATCATTTTATTGTTTGTTAATATAACCAACAGACCATCATTGAAATATGTTATAGCCAATGGTGTAGTCTTACGGTATACCCTGTGTGTGCACCTTCTTTACATTGTACGCCTGTAGGATTAGATTGTCCAAACTAAAAGTACAAAATGCCGCTGACAGCTTAGTTCTAAATTTTTTACCAATGCCCTTATTCATTTTTTGCTGCAACGCCTTTCCCAGTGTCACATTTAGCAGCATAAGGCGTGTGATTATGTTCATTATGTCATTTTTTATTACCGGTACTCTATAATTATTTTCAACACGCCACCAATTGGATTTGACTTGATTCTCTCCTATTAACAAGAACGGATCGACCGTTCTCACACGCTACAAACTGTAATCCTTTGAATATAATACCCGTACCTAATAAAGAGTGTAATACCTTTGAAAAAAAACCTTAAAGGTTAGGTAGGTATATGTTTAGTATGGGACATTAGCTTAGTATAAGTCACGTAACAAAGTCGGTCGTTTAAATAAAATTGTTAATGTTATCTGCAGAATTGTCGTGCGTGAAATTATTTTCTTTACGAACACACGCAAACATTTAATAATTGGCAAGCTGGTACACACACACACACCTACGCATAGCACTATAGCATCGCACTAGTCATGGCTTGTATACATAATAAAATATATATATATATGTATATTTTATTTTCAATTTATAGAAATACAATTGGACTCCTCAGCAGGCAATAGAGAAAATCGTTTCCAAACGCCCACACATTTGGTTACGCAGCCAACAGTTGGAAAGCCTCGACAAATACTATAACGGTGATAACCTTAAAGACGTAGCATAGTATTTTTTTTAACGCATTTTGTCATCACATTCCTCCGTATATGGGCAAACAATATTTATGTTTTTGTTTTTATAATAGTAAAATTAAATATATATTTATTTTTGCAATTAATTTTGTGTGTTGATTATTAACAGACATTGTAAAAGGAGGAGGAGGAGGAGGTGGACAAAACAAACAATTGGAGTATAATAACTAAAACTCATCTAACTCCAGCATGTGCATCAACAATAACATTATTAACACGGAACAAAAAAAAAAAAAAAAACACTAACACGTTAATAATTATTTATGTTGCGTATCCTATGTTATAATCTTATACTTCCATTTTGTTTAGTATTTAATCCTATATAATAGACAGTATATATAAATGGTTTCGTTTTATAATAATTTATATATATATATATATACATAGTAACCGGTGATGGTTTGAAACTGCGATCTCTCTTACGGTTATGATAGCCCGATGATTTCTGTTTGATTTGTCCCAAATGTTTATCGTTTATGTTAATTATTATTATTATTATTATCATTATTACTTACTAACCTTGTTTGGTGTGCTTGTTACTTATTTTAAGAAAACCATTATTATTTTAGATAAAGTCGGAGTAAATAAGGTCGATGACGCGCAAATATGATGGATTTTGTGTTCAAATGTAATTTAAAATATAACATTATATAGTGACCTAAGACAATAAATGTTAATGACAATAATTTTTGTAACTACGTCTCTATTAATTTATAAGGTAATAATAATATTTATGTTTAGATGAAAATATTTATATATATATATTGAAAGTTTTTAGAAAAATCATATTATTTAGTTTATGTTAAATTTGTATACCGATAGTAGACAATACTATACTAACGAGTAACAATGACCAATGTTCCTTTTTTTTTTTCCATCAGTAGTTTCTATAGTAAGAATTTGTTTTCATATTTTAAATAACAATACTATTGTATAATCATATGTATTATTACATAGTAGTAATGGTAACATTATTTTAGTAGCAGACAACTATTGTGTGAGTTATGCGTATTCAATCACGATGTAATCATATCTTGCCGAATTTGTTTTGATCTGTTACGAATTCCTGCATTTTTTTTTCTCTTTATTATTATTTGTTTGAGGTAATAACAATAATAATGTCAATACTACTGGTTGTGTATATTGAAAAAAAAAAATAATAATAATGAAATAAGAACATTGTAAATACATCTATTAATATATAGATGTTACATAATTGTAGGCCTAAAATTATGATTTCTGTTGTAATAAATTAGTGACATTATAATATTATATTACTAATTTGTCTTTGTTTGGAAAGAAAAAAAAAATTATACTTAAAAAAATAGTCGGGTAGGTACGTAATATTGTTTTTAGCATACGATATAACCGTTTTCAATTAACCGTAACAATATTATGTACTTATTATTAATAGTTGAAATGTCTGAGGAGACAACCTAACTTAATTTGGACCAAAGCCTCGTTAATCGATCATAATGTCTAAGAATTACCATTTCGTTTGTTATATTATTGTGTTTGAAATAAAACTAAAATATAATAATACCTATATATTGTATAAAAAAAAAAAAACACAAATTATTCAAGAAACGTATAACAATACTAGTAATTATATATTGTAATTGGGTAGCAAAAAAAAAACTAGAACATAGATAATTGTTGTTTTATTCTTGTATTCAATTAGTTTAGACATATTTAAAAGTGTTGACGAAAATTTTACCCTAAATTTTATTTCAAAAGAATGCCAATTAGCGTTTGCCAATATTGTAAAATATGTAATTTTGTCGAAAATACATAATAATAGATATGAATGAAAAATAGTAAAAATGCGTTACCATGTTAATGTTTTAAAAAAAAATTGAAATTAATTTCAATATCATTTTTAAATACACACTACCTGCTATATTTAATAATAATAATCATTTGTTGTACTTAACTGTATTTTTTTTTTTCATCTATTGAATTGACATATTTTTTTTTATTTGTTTACTCGTTGATGATTTTGTTCATAAATTACTTCTAGTTTATTGTAATTTTTCATCCTCTCGTCGTGGAACGTTTGTTTCTTTGTCAGGCCGGCCTTTGCCGATCTTATTTCCACCAAAAGTAAAAATCCTAACACATAATAATAATAATAGTGTTAATATATATAAAAAAAAAAGGAATGTAATTTTTAAATAAAAGTAATATTATTATGCATTTCAGAACAATAAAATAATAATCGTAGTGCGCTAAAATATAGCATTTTTCTTGTTATTGTTTTTTTTTTATAAAAAGATCAATTATAATATTTATTATTATTATTATTTGAATCGACAAACATAATATTGTTTTGGTAAATTTTTCACAGATTCGATGGTTCACAAACTTGCTTATAGACGGTACATAACAGCCCGTGCTATTGTATGATGACATTAATATGGTTACTGGTTACTGGTTACCGCGGTTACCCGTTAAACGGTAACACAGTTTTAACTTGCCGGTTATGCTTTCAACGTAACAGTGCGTTTTTTCTATGCATGTAATGGGTTTTGCAATTCGGATCTTTGTTAACGAAAATTGCCAATTGGAAACGTTTTTCAACAGCCATGAAAGCAAAACTTCTCACTAAGCCAACAAGGTAAGTCTAAATTTAAGAAAATAATATCCCGTCTTATGTTAAGAATAAAATATTGTGATAATGATGACGTTGTTGTTGAATGTCGATAAGTAAAATATATATATATATATAAGTTATAACTGTCGATTTTGACCTTTCTCGAACTTGCCGGCTCATTAAAAACCTAGTATCAAGTTAACAAATAAAAAAAAAAAACAATAATATTCACTACTTAAGTTAATTTAAGGCTTGCAAAATGCCGATAAACGACTTGGAAATAACAAACTACCCATCTAATAATAATAATTATAGCTTTTTTTAGGCTATCTAATGCTTTTGTTTTAGATTGATTACATTTTGTTTTGATTCTGTTATTTTTCTGTTCTGTTAATCAGCTAAAACGATTTCCATCAAACCCTGTATTTCCTCGGACACGGTGGAAACCTTATTTTTTTTTTATTTCTCTTTTTCGGACAATGTCTTATCACTTATGGTCTGCAAATTAGATTTGAATTAGACCTACAGTGTAAGTATACGATTTTCTCAATATGTTTAACATCAAAATGTTTTCATAATATTTTCTAAACACCTGTAACCTCCCCGGTGCATCTATGCCCGCCCCCATTGTGCTGGATTTGTATTATTTACTTTATTTCGTGTAGGTGTACAACATGTATCACAGTCTATTACTAGTCTTCATTTAAATTTACCGAAATGAAATGTAAAAAATACTGTGGGTATCCACAGAACACGGCCATTAGTAACACGAGGACAAGTCTATCGATTCTTGAACTTGACATTAACCCTTAAACGTTTGCAAATATTCCCCTCTTGCTTGTATTAATTAAGTTGTTACCAACCAGTGTTCACCGACTCGCTCGATGAAATAATATTATATTTTCATTGCTATTTCAATAATATGGTAATTTTAACTTTTAACTAGAACTAGATTTTACGGAAGAGTAGCTTAAATTTTAGTTTTTGCTTAACGTTTGCTTACAGTACTCGTCACGTTTGTTACGCTTTCTAGCGGTCGAAAAATAGTACATTTTATTTTTACTATGTTTTTGCATAAAATACAATTTCTATTTTTTATCACATTATAATAGAGACAATTTTATTTTGGACAGAAATGTACGTTTACGAGTACATTTTTTAAAATTAAGCCACCATTTTATAATTGATGATGTACAATAATTACCTAGAATAGATTACTATAATGTGCTATAGCCGAATTATTTTGTTACTATTAAAAATGTAATAGCACTGTTATTCCCACAGGATTATACTACCTATATGGCCCCATTTTAATCGGTATATTATTACCACCCGTAAACAGGTATTTAATCGTTTATCGGTAGCTTTCTTATTATCGTTTAAATTTTTTATGGTATTAATTAAGCGGTATAATTTATTCCAAAGTCGGAATACAGTATAATTGCTTTATAAAACAGCTATACAAGGGGTCTAGTAAAAAGGCTAATCTCGTGTACCTATATTATATACCTACATCTATACAGTAATTGTTGGCAAATTAACGTTAATATTAATTATAGTGAAGAGCACAATTAATTAAATTTTGGTCATCTGAAGCGTTTTACAATAATAAACGAATAAAATATATATATTTTTTTCTAGGAAGATAAAGAAGACAATATACACAATGAGTAGGTACTACTTTGATTGAGTAGTCTAAAGTTTTTTGTCGAAAAATCGAGATTAGTTTAAGAGTCACTTAAGATGCAACACCTCGGTAACTCGTTTTTGGGCCATATCAAGTTGGCCACACTGTTTTAAACACGGTTACCTATAATGTTATTGAATGGAAATTGATTTTTTTTCTCTACCGTGTAAATACAGGGGGGCAATCTTGTTTCGAACAAGATTGCGATTTTCAGTGCAGCCACTAAAACCTATATATTTATACGATAATTATTGGCAATGAATTGTGTGGTGACACTACTCGTGTTATCATTAAACGTGTTATCACTAAATGTTACCTAGATAATATTATCTTAAATATGACTTATCACAATTAAATTATTATGGAAGCAGGTTGTCAAAACGGCCTCTCTGTGCTGTAAAGTTGAGGAAAATGAGATATACCATGATGTTGCATCTTAGGCGACGATATATGTATTATTTGTGTGTTTTAGGTATATACACACAGGGTATTACCTACCAGCCACCATGGAGCCAATAGCCAACAAGTAAAATGCCCCTTGCAGCGTTTTCATGGACATGGCTATTTTGTGGTCGTCGTCGTCTTTTTCCAAAATTTCGGCCGCCGATCCTTCCAGCACGGGTTCAGCGGCAGTCTCTTTGGCCGTGGTCGACATGAGCTGGTCGTTGAGTTTTTGATATTCTTCCTCTGTGATTTTCGACAAAATACCTCCCTCGAACAATCTCATCAGCCTTCAGGCAGAAAAAGAAAGAAAAAACAAAGTGGTTTTTTTATATATATATTATTATTATTATTTCTGTCAGCGTTTAACAATGTGTATGTCGTATTACACGTCGTCAAAGTTTTCTATGTACGGGCACGCCCGTTGGAAAGCTATAGCCGAGTATCTTGTGTTTAACTTTTCGCTCAAATGAAAATGTTGGACTCCTAAAAAAAAACAAAAACCATCATAGGAGTTAAATTCAATTCAATTTTACAGCGTGTCTCGGTGTTTTTTTTGTTTAGTAAGCTGCATAATATTACTACCTATAAGTTTGTAACGTACCAAATCGTTTAATGTCATAATAGAATGTCTCCCGACCTCCTATCACCGCGTAGTTTTTGTTATCTCGGACCAGTTGCATTCCTTTCTCTGTGGATCCTATTAGGTATTCCCTTTGGCGCTGCACCAGTTTGGACAGTGTCTCGTACACGCCAGTGCCGTTCTTGTAGGTACATGCAAACATATAACAATTATTACTATTATGGTTTTGCCGGCGTTAGTTGACAAGTAACCCGCAACGGGGCTTATCCAATACGGGTTTTACCGTATGCTCGTACCTCCAGCATTGCTTGCGAAGCGCTCTGGACTTCCACCAGCAATTGCAATCCCGAATCGTGCATAGCCTTGGACAACTCGTCCAGAGTGTTGATGGGAGACTCTGTCCAAGATATACAATATGGGTATTTAAAGTTTAAGAATCACCTGTGTTGTGATAAGACTAGGCGAGTAGATACGTAAACGCGTGAACTTAATGTCCGCATTAAGCGGACGTCATGACCTCTATTCATTATGGAGTTGGGTATAGGCAATTTGTTTTCAAAATCTTTATTTAAATGTTTACTGTGATGTGTTTGGTTAGATTTAAAAAAGTTTAGATAGGTTAGGTTTGATTTGATTAGGTTTGGTTAGGTTTAGTCAGGTTAGGTTTGGTTTGGTTAGGTTTAGTTAGGTTTGGTTAGGTTAGGTTTGGTTAGGTTAGGTTTGGTTTGGTTTTAATTATTAGTTCAGTAATTAGGACTTTCGGGGTAGTCAATTGGTTTTCCGACTATCACAACATCCTTGACAGCGATTTAAAAATTGTTTTTTCATCCAAGCATGTTGACGCAAAACAGAAAAAGGTACCCTTCAAAATGATCTTAGAGATAAAACACATGTAATAAAAAAAAATATATAGAAGATAAGATTTCCGAAGAAACCTCATGTGCGTTTACATTGCCTACAATGCAAAATTACCTAAAATTCATTTTTTAAACATTTTTGCCACTTTTTTTTCCTAATTGAAATTTTGAAAAACGCATATTAAAACGAGATTCTCTCGGAAATCTTGACTTCTATCTTTTTTTTCCTTATAACTGTTTTATCTTTACAATCCCTGTGAAACGTATTTTTACCGGTTTTTGTAAACAAGTTTTTCATTGTCATAAGAGGATGTCTCACCATCGACGAGACGTCCCTCTTAAATGGAAAATTAAATTTTTGGATTTTTTGATTTTTTTGTGTTGTCTGTACTCCACTCTGGTGTTACTTCAATACTATAATGAGATTTTCACCGGACCAATGCCTTTTAAGCGGGTTTTACCTTTTGGCGGTCTGGCCAAAATCGACGTCAGGCTGGCCGAGTATATGTCACCAATAACATAAGTGGCCGACAGTATTAGCAAACCGGCAACGAATCTGATTTTGCAACTGTCCGAGGGAACCACTGCGGCTGCAATTATAAATACAATAATGTTGCATTAGGTTAGACAACAAATGTAATTTTCTGGAGAATTTTTTTAGCTCTCAATAAATGAGCTGGTATTATATACATAAGGTCAGAATACACCAAAGCAGAAACTTTTTAATTGACCAAACAGTGCTTTTTTAACTTTTATGCGGATCTGAAAGATATTGGTTTAACAATGATTTGTTTTTTTTTTGGTAACTTTGCTTTTTGTAAGTTGTGTTGGTTAAAACGTTTTTTCAATTTTCAATAATTCAGTACTGCCTTGACAAAGTTATTGGGATTAAAACTGTTGTCTAATTTCGTATATTATTTAGGTGAATTCTAAATTGGTGTTATCGTTTATGCCAAACAAAACAAATTCCCTCAACAATAATGATTATTTATGGGACAAACTAACCACTTTTCACATTTAATTCGCAGTGTCGGACAAACAATTTTCAGAACAATAAGAGATTCCAGAATTATTTAGGGAGAGGGCTATTTTCGCCCATTCATCTTATAGATTAATTTTGCTTCTCTTTATAACATCTTTGTTATAGCTATAAAGTACCTGCGGTTTTATAAAATAGGATATATATATATTAAATAAACGCCATAAGCCAGTCGCAGAGCAAAAATCAAGAAACAAGTATCAATAATTTATATTGACAATACCAAGTACTATATATTTATTATAAATTATTTGGACCGTTTATTTATGAAATGTGTTAAACAACATTTTGGACTAACTTAAAAATCTGTTAAGGGGCCTCTGCATTAGCATTTATTAAGGCGCATTATATAGGCGATTTTTCGCTAAATATTTGCATTTTTCGGGTCAAAATATAAATTAAATTTCAATTGTAATTCTATAGTGTAAACATTAGATAATATATGGGTGATTGTAAACCCTATAACTAAAAATAACGTTGATAGTCTATACACCGCGTCAAAGTAATGAATGTACACCAAAAATCATATTAAAAAAAAAACCAACTGAGTAAACTCAGTTAAGAGTGTCCACACTCCATGCACATACATCAATACACAAATATGTCCTGATATTTATATGATTATTTCCGATCTATAATCTTAGTAGTTTTACAATATCCGGCCTTAATCGATTTACTGGCAATATTTATAAATATTTAACCTTTTTTTTATTAATCAATTTCCGTGGTTCGCCAGTAAGTAAGTGTCTACCTAACAAATTCATTTGACTTTCCTTATATATATCGTTATATCGTTATACTCTTGTATCCTAATATATCCCAATAAATCCTTAAATCCTTATATATCCCGCAACTTGATGTATGAAGTGTGGTTACTCTTAACTTTATTTTCATAACATAATCCCTCCATAACACCTCCACAATCCCTCCACAATCCTCCTCGATAGTCCCTCCATAATGACGTCAGCACTGTGACACGGACAAATTTTCAGAATGATCCTCAGCCATATGACATATGACATATGTAAAGACAAATCTTGAAAATATTCACTAGAACAAAAGTTGTCTTATCTTTGTGGAACACCCTGTATAGGTAGGTACTTAATTTTTTTTGTTTTACTTAATTTAGTTTTGTCGAAAGTGCATGCCATTTGTGTACTAAATCATTTCCGTGTCCTTGAACATTACTCGAAAGCTTCTATTAACCGCTTCGGTTGTCGCGAGTAGCGACCGAGTAATTATACTTTTCTCCCGGCCGACCGGCCGTGCGCACCTTATCGCCGCCGCCATCATCATCGTCTTTACCATTATTATCATTATCACGGTCAACAACAATGGGGAAAGACCACGTTAAGGTTAGGCCGTGCGCACCGGACCGCCGCGGACACCGTTTTCACCGCGGTCATAACTCTCTATTCGCGGTGTCCGCGCGTCATTATCGCATAACTCGGCGGCGACGGCGACGGCCGCCGGTGTTGCAGTCGGCACGAAGACACCGAACATGAATACACCGGTCGCATTATCCGACGGACGTAACGCGCAGACATCGTCGTCCGTGCCGCCGCCGCCGCCGTTGCGTCGTCGTCTGACGGTCGTCTCGTTTTGTCTGCGTTGCGCGGCCGCCTGTCTGGTCGTCGCAGCGGCGGCGGCCGCACCGGTTGCCGTGGACGCCCGGTCCAGGATCATTACCGCGGCGTCGTCCGTCGCCGACGAATGGTGCGCGGCCCGGATGAGGCGCACGCTGGCCGCCGTCATGGTCGCTCCGGCCGCCACGATGGACCTGTCCGGTTACGCGATCCACCGCGCGTTGCGGTCCGTTCCCGGCGTCCAGATGTACATGACCGGCATCCAGGCCAAAGTGACGACGGACGGCGCCGGCCGGCCGTCCCGTAAACCGTGGACGCGCGTGGACGGTTGCCGGTACTTCCCGGCCGACAACGTTCTGGAGGCGCGAATGCACTTCGGCAAGCCGCTCACCGTTACCGGCACCGTGCGGTTGTTGCGCATCGATCGCCGGATGAGGCGGTACTCGGACGACATCGGAGCGCCGGCCGTGTGCAACGTCGCCGTGCGTTTGCGGGGCGCCGGCGTCAGCTTGTCGGCCGCACCGGTCGCCGATTTGTCGACCGCGGCCAGCGGTCCCGCCGGCGGACGTCCGACGGGCGCCGCCGCCGCCGCCGTCTCGTCGATGACCATCAGGACGACGGCCGTTTACACGGACACCGCGGCCGCCGCATCCGAAGAAGACGTCGGGCCTTTGTCCGCGTTCGTCAGCGTCCACGCTTACCAGTGTGCGGACGCGCTGAGCGGTAAGCAAGACGACCGGCCGTCGGACACGCCGCCGGCGGCCGCCGAGTGGACGGCCGGCGAAGACGACGACGTTTCGCGGGTGCTCAACAAACGCCCTCAACAGCTGCTGTACGGCGACGGACAACGGGCCATGGTGGAAATCGAAGAGGCGCTCGTCCGCGGCGTCCGGCAGCTGCTGGCCAAGCACTTGGAACGAACACTGCAACCGGCCCTCCGGGAATCGCTCATGAACCGTATGGGCTACGTCGTCTCGTACGGGTGACGAGTTCCCGTAAACTCCTATCACTCACTCACTGTCGTATGATCCGTTCATTATTTATTTACCTTTACTTATATTCATATTTATCATACCTATTTACTTATATTATATTGCTTCTTGTTATTCATCATCAAATTATACACAACAAACGCGGCGTCCTTCTCATCCACACGTCTTATCCATCCTCCATTTACTTCACTTAACTCTATTGTCTGCCTGAGACTCCAGGTCTAGTTATCTGTGCTTTAATAGATCTTACCTGTTGAAAACCGTTTTCTTTTTATGTTACAAAGTCAATGGTCTTCGTCACTTGTAGAATATCAATATTCGTATTAAGATAAAGCCACTCCCCATTTTTAAGAAGTAAAGTTTAGGCAATTTTTTAGAAAATCTTAACATCAAGGTTAACCTGTGATGTGTAATTATTAGGTCAGTTAGTATAAAAATGCACGTGTGGCGTGCTCTTAAGTAGTTATTAAATGATTCGTTTTTTTTTTAACAATACATTATTGAAAAAAATTACACTTGTATACACACAAACAGCTTTATCTACCTTTTCCTAAAGTTGGTACAAAACACAAAATTAATTTCGCTGGAAAAAACAATTTATAGTTAAACTAGTATTGTAACTAACGTAGTTGACATATTTGTAGTGAGTGTAAAACAAAAAGAAGTTATTAATTACTTATTTTTTTTTTTTAACGATTTGCGATTGTCGTCATTACATAATTTTTTTTATTATAAAACAAATTTGGTCCAAAGTGTTGCTAAACTCTTTTCCTAAATAAACGATTTAAGCAATTTATAATATAGCTAGTGCTTGGTATTATCAATTAAAAATAGTATGATAGTAAAATAGTATCTTGTTTCTTGGTTTTACTTTGCAACTGGCTTATGTAATTGTGTATTTATATTATTTTTAAAATTCAATCAAAATTATATTTTATCTTTTTTTTTTTTTGCCGATTTCGCAACTCCCTAACTATATGTACCTTTTATATTAACTTTCGTGTGTATTTATTTTATATAATTTGATGTATTGTTGTTGGACAATATTTTACTATGATGTGTACTATGTGTGTATATTTATTAATTATAATTATTATGTTTTTAATAATTTGGTAATACACAATATGTATGGATTAAGCATGTGATATTTAAATGTTTACAAATGTTCTTTAGAATAGTTCATAATTAGCAATTATTAATTACTGTTGCAATTAGGTCGAACTCTATTGTCCACGTGTAGTCGAATTTCCAGCTAATAAAATGAATTACTTTATTTTCTGTTTTATTATTATTAAAAATCTTGTAAACGATAATTATTTGGATCTATAAAGATCGTAAGAGATCCGATTTGAAACCACGGGTATCAAAATATAATCACGTGTGTATAGCACATTACCTTGCTGCAAGAACACGGTGACCGACCACCAGGCGCATTGCCAGAACAACGTCGCCGACCAATGGCCCTCGTTGTCCACCGTGGAGTTGATAAGCAAGAAGAGGATAGGTCCGGCCAGCACGACGGTCACCAACAATAACGGCCACACCTGTACGTTTGTAAAAAGCAGAGTAGAGGTGGTAATTGATTACTAAGTAATTGTGAATTGTCTTTGAGTTCAAGTAATTACTTGAGCAATTGACCGTCGCAGCGTTATCGAGAAGAGGAATACATTTTATCATGGATACGGATATGTTCAACAAAATTTCATGTCGCCATTTTCGCGTTACAGTTTCAGTTAAGAGATAAGAGACAAGCGATACCTAACTGATAAGAGATAAGAGACAAAAGAGACATGATAAGAGGTAACATATCCATGATTTAGCGTTTTTTCGTGGAGTGGAAGAAATAAGCAATAATGTCTTTTAAGACATGTACCGTGGCTTTGTCTAGGTTAGAAAAATTGGTCCAAAAGGTGGATTTGCAAAGCTATCTACAATCAGGGCACCTTTTTAATCGACAAAAGTCAAGGTCAAGTCGTTTTATAGTAGTTACTTACTTACGGGTTTTCCCCAATCGCATTCAAAACAATGTTTTTTTTACCTATTAATTCAATAGATTAAAAAAAACCAACTTTTTAAATGACATATTCTACTCCATTGGCTTTATTCGGCGACTCCAAGAGTTCAATAATAATTGTTGGTTGAATGTCTGGCCAAAGGATGACAGATTCATAGTTACATTTTCCGTTAATGGAAAAATAATAACTTGATTTGATTGCATTAACTTTGATCGTCAAAGGAATTTTTGATATTAAATATATATATATTTAAATTTTCTCCGAGAAAATGATCTTTCACGTCTGAACAGATCAAATAAAATGAATTACCGTTGAAGAATGTCAGCTCCGGGTTTCTGTTGAACGAGTTGGTCTGGCTGTCAAAAGTATTGCGTATCGTTTATTTAATTTTCGTTACAATAACTTGGGGAGACATTGAGACGTGGCCATTAAGGCGTACACGTTTTGGTCGTTTAAATAAAATTAATATTGATCGTCTGAAAAATTGCAGAATTTCTTTGGACGTTTTGGGAATAGAATAATCATACCAAAACAGCTGATAATCTTTATTTTATAGTTCATTGAGAAATGATTAAATGAATTGAAAAGATCAATTAATGGAGATCATTTATTTAAAAGTGATTTTATCATTTTCAGTTATGCCAATCATTCCTGTAGACTTGTGACCTCCCCGTTTCCACTATGTCCCGACCCCACTGTACTAGATTTTTTTTTTCTATTTTGATTACACACTGCTACTGCTTTTAAGATTCGGTAACATGCGAAATACCAGAAGATAATGTGTGTGCTTACCGACCAGTGGAACGGTCTGATCAAGGAAAAAGCCTCGTTGAGACGGCCCGGAGCGTGAGTCAGGAACGCTTCGTTGTCGACCAAAGTGAGAAACGAAAAGTCCACGACCAGATTGCGTTCGTACGTTATAGACAGGTCGCCCACAAACCAGTCTGCTTCCTGTATTCGAGGGATTTACAAAAAAAAAAACCGTCAAACGTGAACCCTGACCAAATGGGAAAATTGAAAACATTCCGGTGCAACAGGTTCGATCAGTGTTGACCCACGCAACAACGCTCACCCTCTGCCAGATCAATCCCAACACTCCTTGCACGGACGGCGACCCTCCGCCGTCCAGACCAGAACCCTGGGTCCTGTCCGGCGGGTCCATGTACATGTATCTGTAAACGCAAACGAAGATTTAAGACGTGCATATTTCCAAAGATTCACTGTTCTTTTATCACACCTAAAGTTGAGCTTGTCGGCTAGCAATCTGATCAGCTTGTCGTCCCGTCCGCCTTCCACGCGAAAACTGCTGTCGTTCATGTACTCCACGAACGTCCACGGTGGTTTCTGTGACGGTTGTGTTTTTTTTTTTAATTTTTTTATTCTTAAATAATAAGGATAATAATACGTCTTGAGAACGTACGTGCAACACGGGAACGACGAACCGACGGCCTTCGAAGTCGTTGTACACTCGTTTGGTTTTGGGCAAAAGCGGAAACCTGACCAGCCCGTCCGTGGCCGACCACCAGTTGACCATTTTCAGATCGGTCCGACGACCGGTGGCGCTCGCTTGGTTGTAATAGATCTGATAACTGCGATTTATTCGGTTTTAACTTGTATTTATCCATAGACCGTATTAAATTCCTTATTGAGTAGTCTGCCGGAGATTAGAATGCCAAGATTGATGAATGGAGTGCATAGGGAAGATAGAGTAACAAATTATAACCGAGAGAGAACAGATTGAGATGGTTAGGTCATGTTATAGAAGAGGGACGAGGCAGAGGAACCGAGGAAAAACGGGTAGACGGAATAGAGAGGATAGCTGGGGTGGTTGACTGAGAAGTAGAAGATCTGTGTAAGTTTTGGACTAGATTGGCCGAGTGTAAGGCGGAGATGTATAAGAAGAAGCAGATTGAGTAGTCCGGCCAGAGTTACAGTATAGTTCCTATTTTTTTTTTTTTTTAATCCCATCGAGTCACTGATAGCTTAGGGTTTCTGAGTTCTAGGCAAGGACAGGCGACAGTCGAAGAAGATTAAGAGTACCTACAACTACTTACAATCCCGGTCTAGGAGTGGTGATGATGCACACTCTCATCGATTCGGTTATGGCCGTGTAGAACGCTTTGCTGGCGTGTTGCAACCACAAGAACATGTACACAACGTTCCGGGACATCAGGTCTCTTTTTCGGATCTACAGCATAAGTGTATGGTAAGTATGTATAATAAGAATAGCCTGCATTTAGGTTGGGTAGGTTGGATTAGAAATACGCTTGCCAAGTCGGGGTCGGCGTGTAGACTTTTTGCTTTTTAAATTTTGGAAGATCATTTAAAATACATCTTTTATTAATATAAGCAATTAGTATAAATTTAATTTTTTTATGTTCAGCAGCAATATTTGAAACTATTTATATTTTTCTTAAAATAATTAAAAATGTTTAGTTTTTCATTTTGGAGTTGTTTTACTAGTTTATGTTATTTTGTAGTATAAAAAAATATTACAATTTGTATCTAGACCGCTATAAACGCTTGAAACTTGAACGGGAACATATTATAGTATATTTAATTAACTTTTTTTAATTAAGAATAATTGGCTGGACATTTTGACTGGTCGATAACCAGTTTTGGATAATTATTTTTAGAGCTACTAAAATGTATAGTTAGGACTGGAGGAAAGGTGGAATGTAGAGTTATCTTTATCTGTGTGCGTTACTCAACCGCACTCCACCTCCCGTCTTCAATTTTAAACTTTATAACTTTAATAAAAAGTAATCATCAAAAACTTTAACAAATTATTCTACTTTAAAAAAGTCAACTAAATATACATGTTACCATTTAAGTTTCAAAAGTTTATAGACCTCTGAAAAATACTTAAAAAGGTAAGTATTAAGTAATTTTTATAATATTTTAGAATAACAAAAACAACAATTTTTTTGAAAAGAAAAACTATAAAATTGCAATTTTTATGAGAAAACGAATGTCTTATTCTCAATGAATCACCCTGTATATCATAAATTTAATAATGCAAACAAGTGTTATTTCTCATCAAGATACCATCTAGGTGTTTTTAGCTAGAATTTTCTTTTATACATATTTTGCATCTTCTTGACAGGCATCTTTTCGATGAGCTTAGAGTCGTCAACATGCTATCTATTAGAGAACATTTAAAATTAAGCGTTTATGGGTATGATATCCGATCTACTTGTATATTATCTTATAATAAAGTTACGGTAAATGTCTATGTTAGAGCTCTAAGAGTTATCGACCTCAATTTTTTTTTTTAATTTCTATTGCTATACAGCTATTATACTCTACTTGATTTTGTAGCTCTGTAAATTATATTGATTATAAACTCAATTTTAATGACTTTCTGTTAATCGAAAAAAAAATATCAATATTTTTTTCGGAAATCCGAAATAATTTCACATGGTAATATTTTTTACTATAAAAATTATGTGCCAAGAAAAAAACTCAAAATAATTTTGATGATTATTGGCAAAGTAATCGGTTATATTTTTTAATATTCTCCTTGAGTCGACCGGTGCCCTGTAAGCTCTTAGCGGTGACAATTATTATTATTATTTTTTTTTTTTTGACGATCCTGACATTGTGCAATATTTGGGAAGCCCTCGAGTATGAAATATTAATATCGCTGACGTTGAAAATGTTTAATCATCGACTACCTCACATCCCAGCTGTTACATCCGCACCACTTGCAGCGTGTCAAGTAGGCTTATAATGTTGACGAACCGTGTGGTAAGGTAATAGATTTGCCACTAATTTATAGTGTTTATTTATACAATATTGCTATCTATAAGTTTTCCATTCTTGTTGGCCTGAAAATATATATTTTTCCTCTTTTTTTTACTCACCGAAGAAATGAGCGTTTCCATCAGTTCCGGCGTGGATAGCACCACATAAGCCATTTGATGACCATTGTTGACCACCCGACCGATATCCGTTAATACCTGACGGTGCAATTTTCAGATGCAAACAGGGTTAAGAAGTTAGGTTAGGCTGTCAATTTTAAACTGGAGTTTTCGTCGAAAATGTTTGGGAAAAAAGAAACGACTAAAAACAAATTATGATTACCAATTGCACGTGGTCTGGTGTAGACAAGCCGTAGTGTGTAGTCGTCACTGCTTTGCCGTGTAAAGACTTGACGACGTTACCCGGGAAATCCCCTTCGGCCGCCCCTGTAATACAAGTACTTCCGGTAAGTCGAGGTTAAAATTTGGAATTATCTGGTTAAAATATGTGGGAGTAGGTACCGAATATTATGCATGAGAGTGATAACCCAAAATGGCCTAACAGCAATATTGAGGTATTTCATTTTAATCGATTACTCATGAAAGGCGTTTAGCCCAATAATAAATAATTTTTAATTCCCATGCACAATACTCGTTTAAATTTGTGAATAATAATTTTTCAAATTTATTTTTTAACCAACAGTAAGAGTTGATCAATTGGACGAATTTCACCCTTTTCACAAATAAAACTACTAAATCATAACGGCATTGTGTGCAATAGAGTGGATGTAAACCGAAACTACTTTACCAATATTTTTTATTATGACTAATATTTATAAAATTATATAAATAAATCATTAATAGAAACGATTCAGCTGTATATTTAGAAGTCATTCGAAGCTATTTTGTCTTATCCGTTTGATTAACACGTGTGAAGTTGATATCTTTTTTTATGTTTTTTACTACATTTTTTTTTTAGATTTGAAGCTTCAATATTTGGAGCTAGCTCGTTGATGATAAAAAAAACACCAACCAGTACACGAGGGAAATATTTTATAGGTATCACATCTTCAAAGTTTAATGAAAAATAAAAATCCCGATTATTTTAAGTTCTTAAACAATTTAATCAATAAACCGACAATAATAAATCGAGTATTTTTCAAATTATACTTTTTTTAAACGTTTTTTTCGTAATCTTTTCAACGAGCAAGAAAAAGATAACATAATCAAAAGAAAACAGGAAATCATCTTTACACGTGTTAATCAAACGGACAACAAAAGCTTTGAGTCATCTCTACATAATATCCGACAGAGTTCATATTTTGATATTTCCTTTTTCTTTATTTCTAAACTTAAGAATTTTGGGTAAACAAAAATAAATTGTTTTTTTGGGTAGGGTCTATTATATTTGAACGTTCGCACAGCTCTATTAATCGGTGTATAACAATAGTAATTACTGGTACAAAAAGTTTTTTAAAGAAGAAAAAACAATTGGATTATTGTTAAATTGTCTATTTTGATATTCAATTAAACGCTTATTGTATTTTTTACTATCAATTCATTATTCAATACATTTCCACATCTTTCAAAAAATATAATAAAATAGTCACAATAGTTAAAATATATTATAATAAAATAGAACCATTAAATCATAAAGTATTTTTGTTGCTTATATTATGACAATGAATAATTGTAAAAAATATTGCACTTGAAATATGTGATTTATATACTCAGAAAATGTCAACGAAACTGTGATTAATTATTATAAATCCATTCAGAATTACACTAGTAACTATTTGGTTTTTAAGAAAATTATAAAAAAATGAATACAGTGTGTTTTTCTAACTATGAATCAGTCGATATCTTTAATATTAATTAGACTATATTGAATTATTCTTTTGCATAGTTTCACAGTTATTAGTTAGCCCGAGTTTGATATAATTTTTCAACTGTATAACCCCATCCGATTAACCTGCTGTAAGAGTATATAAAAAAGAATAATAGTTTAAAAAGTCCAACATCTTCTGGGCAAATTGACAGGTTTGCACAGCAATTGAATCGCATTGTACATATTATTGTATTAGTTCAACTGATAATAACTAACACAATAAAAATGGGTAAAAACTAAAATTGAGAATCTTAAAACGCTGAACACCGACTTACCTTCGTGTATGGCCAAAGTACAATCGGCCATGGGTGTCATGGCTGCGATTATGTCACGGACAGCGTTGGTCAAGTTCTTGTAGTCCACCCTGTCGTTCCATCCGGCCACTCCTGGAGACGCTGTGGTGGTTTTTGTTTCCCAAGATTCGTCGACTCCTGGTGTCGAAGTCTCCAAACCAAGCAAGCCACCACACCAACACCACGCTAGACAATAGTAATTAATTTAAAAAAAAATAAAAAATTATAATCCGTTTAAAGTTGACCACAATCCAAACCACAAGTCCAATAATACAACGATAGCAAGACCTGGCACGGGGATTAGGTTTTTTTTAATAGCTTTTAGTTACCCAAAACAAAGGTCAGCAACAACAAACGTCTTGCAGCGGCCATTGCACCGACTATTTGGACGTAGTGTACATTTCAACGGTAGTCACGTTAAAAGGGGTCAAATACAGCAGAAAATTACTATCCGACGTACAACAATTATCTTGTCCGGACGTGCAATGAATTTTTAAACGAGAAATAGGCGAACGAATGGTGGCTAAAAAAAAAATTAACGATTTAAGGTTAGTTATATAGTATAGTACAACCGAGGCCAACAACGGTATATTTCTTACTTGCCTATTAAATATAATACTTCTTATATTATTTTGTGAAGAGTGAATGTCGCTTTAACTGCATAGATTATTAGCCAACAGTTACACGAGGCAAAACAAAAACAGGCTATTCAACATTATATACATAATATATAAGATATGAGCTATTATAGTACTATTTTCGTTGGTACTTGCCGTTTGATTTACTATTAACCGGATATCATTGTCCTATTGCTTTGAACGATAATAATATGGTATATGGTCTATATTACACTTATTGTACAGGGATATGTCGAGCAGACCTTAGTACTTAATCGAGTTGATCTTTGACTAATCATAAGGGATAGGGATTTTATCACCGTGGTATGAGAAGAGGATAATCCAATTAATATTTTTTTTTGTAAGAAATGGACCAGGTTTTTGACAAAAAAAACACTATTGGCGATAAAATGACTTACAAATGTAATTTTATTTAGCTTACGTACAGTATTGGTTCGATTTGGCTATAGATAAAATATGAATATAGATAGATTAAATTGGTTTATTGTTGTGTTTCATGTTACTTCCTAAAAATTAAGTATTAAATCTTGACACTTTGTAATTCTGTCGACATGAGAAATCAGAATTAATTATAAATTAAATGTAATAATTATTAAACTTGCTTAAGCGAGGTGAACCTTAATTGCTTGTCGTCTACGATTTAAGTATGTTTACCGACTTGATAAACGCTTTTGTTGTAGTTCTTAATGAATAATAAACAATAATAAGATTTCTAAATGTTAATTATTATACTCGTATAAACACAGACAAAATAATAAACATAATATTATATTATCAAATTATTATTATTATTTAAATATTATCTCTGGATGTAGGTGGGAATTATTTTTCCAAGTTGAAGCACAGAAATTAAAGAAAACATGAAGTTAAGTGCTAAGCACGTTGTAATGTGGATTTCTCGTTATTGTTAATTGAGCATTTTAGTGTTAGCTAAAAGCTTGTAGTTATAAATCATACCCTTATGTATAATTATGTATATATGTATAGTAAAGTGTTTTTTTTTTAACTTCTTTACCAACTTAGTATAGACGACTTGGATTTTATTATAGATCCACTTGATCTTACATCCCAATAATCAAACCCAAGTCCTAACGCCAAGAACTGAACAACTATTTTTTTTTTAACACTCGTGTATTTATGTTGCCTATTTAAAACGCCGTTATAGTAAAACACAAATTATATTGCTAAAGTTATTAATAATAATATTAATACAGATATTTGTATAGTTTTTATACAATAACTCAAATTATGAACTATATACATTTTTAGGTAACATTATGAATTCAAATTTTAATTATTAATAATCTGCTATTGTTTATCGTTTGTGGTTTTTACTTGGATTCAGAATCTAGAAAACTCTATTATATAATATTATAAGATAATTTATTAAAAATAGCAAAATCCTTTTGAATTTTACAATAAATAAAATATTACAGAATTTAATGTGAGAAGGTTGTTGTTGCAGTCCATAAGGAGATAAGTATGTTTCATTATTATAATTTAATTTTTTACCTATTCGTTACAGTTATTGAGTTTACCTTTTGAATTTTTTTATGAAGACTGAATTCAATTGTGTTCAAACAATTTAGTAAGTTACTGATCGCATAAATTCAAGGCAGTAAGTTTAATAAATAAATAAAATATTTTACGTTAAATACAATTTTACATTAAACACTAATGAAGGTAATCTACATACGTCCAAGACTATGAACTTACACAATATAACATACCGCTTATGTGTATTTTATTATTAATATTGCTTAATTAAAATTTTATGTTGTTAAATAGGTACATATAAGAACTATTTACACAGAAAAATGTAGTCCTCAATTAATTGAACTTTACAAATGACAAATATAAGTTATTTTTATAAAGCCTTTAATCGTTCAGTGTTATCTTTTTACATATATTTTTTTATTTATGTATACATATTTAACAAAAAAGTCAGTGTGATTAATTTTCCAATTTAATGTTATAATATTTTAGGTTTTGTGAAATTTAAAAAAATAAAAAGTACATTTGTATTTATAAAAAAAAGTACACTGTAAAAAACGTATAATTTAATATTCGTCGATACATTTTTGTAAAAACACAAAACCAATTATTTGTTTTAGCATCCGTACAAAGCTATAAAGGTATTGATTTTTTTAAATATTTTTGGATCCATCTTTTTTAACTTTTTAACCATCGGATTGATTTCTTCACACCGAAAGGGCAAAAATGGAAAAAGTCATACTTTGCCCGTCAGAATCGAGAAAAACACCCTACAAGATTTTATGTCATTATAATATATATTTATAAAATTAAAATTAAGAATAGCTGCTATAGTTTTTTTTTTTTTTAATAGTAAATCTTTTTGTGTGGGATATTCTTTCTATATGTACTATTGGTTTACAGTGAAAATCAAAAAAATATTATTAACCCTTTCATTTAGGTGCAGTGTTGGACTTAAGGTCTGATAATACACCGTAGGTAGATCTATGTAGTGTGGCCCTTACTAAGACAATTTTTTTTCTTTCTTATTTGTAGTTAAAATTATTTAATGAGAAAACGCACAAATACAATTTAAAAAAATCTAATTTTGTCACCTATTAATTTATTTTACTTGTATTATGATTTTTCCGATTTTTGTTTTTTTTATTTATACAGGGTGATCAATTAAATTAAATTTACAAAATATGTATTTTTGTCATTTTGTATTTTTTTTTTTGTCAAAATATTTGTTTTCAAAGGGCTGTGACCTCTTTGCATTGATTCCACGGTGCTGTCTATGTAAGATTTTTTTTATTTCAAATTTAATCTTTATTTTTTCCTCATTTTTAACGTTTAAATTAATATTATGTCGTCGTGATATTCTGTCTTGTGTTTTATTAGAACACTTAACGGTTTTAGAACAGACCAATAACATATTATAACGAATAAGAACAGCTATCGCCAAGGACGGAGGACCCACTTGAACAAGTTAAAGGATTCAACACAAGACAACTTAAAGATAATTGAAGTGCGCATTATACACAAATAACATCAATAACAGATTGGCAGCTGCACATGACGTAGGTAGGTATTAATGACGTAGAAATTTAACTGTGAATAATAACCGGAAGTAGCAGAAGGTTTTATTTCATCACATTCGTATAGGTATTGTCGCAATACATTTCTAAACATACTCGGATGGATCGATTTGTTTTAAAATATTCTTACAGTATTTTATCGCCCCTGTCAAATGCCTATTTTTTTTTTATAATTGATTAAAAATTATTCTATTATGTTTATGAATGCAAAACATAATTTCAAGCATGCTACACATATTATATTTACAATAACGAGGGTATTTCAAGGGGTTATCAAGTATATGCTGAAATTTGAGTTTACACCAACTGTAAACAATAGGTAGTAGTAAACGAGTTGCCCGTATTATTTCATTAACAGCTTAAACGCGCCGTTGAATGATTTTTTTTTTTTTTTTTACTACATTCGACACGATTGAAACACAACAAACAACGGTGTTTATGTGTCGTCGCAAACTATTTAAATACAAAAAAAATCATTACTGCAAGTCTGCAATAATCGTGTGTACTCAGTTGGAGCAAACGACAACACATAGCGTAAGACACAACCGGTATAGAAGTCTTGTATACTTATCCTATCCCACGTTCTTATTCCGGCTAACCCACGATGAATCGGTCATATTTTAATTGCCTAATTAGTTCAATTAAATAAACATCGGTGTACATATTATATGTATGTAGTTACTTTGTGCCAAATCTCGATGCATAATTAAACCGTTATTCTTCGAGTCTGGACGAGCTGTTTGAATTAAAAAGTTCAAACCGTCAGTCCGGCGGGCACTCGGAAGAAGTTTTTTGTGCACACTTTACTTACTTGCTTACTATATTTTTTTTTTAAAGAAAAACGTCTTTTAATCGTATTCCACTCTCGCCGAGCCTTGCTGAATTACGAAGACATAGGCCGATAGGATATTTAGAAGAAAAAAATGTAAATAAATTAACGACACAAAATCATATGCACATATTTTTAAATAATAATAAATTTGTATACACATACATTTATAATATAATAGAGATTTAATTTTTATAATACAATATACATTAAAAAAAAAAAAAAAAACTTTTTAACAATGTCGCTAATTTCATTGAGCAGCTCTTCTTATATTGTTAAACATGGTTATTATTATTATTATTGCTTTTAATAACATAATATACTTCATAGAACAAAATGTATATATATTTTGTGTATTTATATATATATATATAATAAATAATACTATGAGAAGGCCGTTGTGTGTGCGACAAGTACGTAAAAGTAAGTACAGTATTTCATACAATAGTTTTACGGGTTTCGTCGTAAGCAACGACAATATTATATTGCAACGTTGTTCCAACGGGAAATATCTAATATTTTTTTTTTTCAAAATTTCTCTAAAGTAAACCCCAAAACGTTTGTTTTAATCTATTATTATTATTATCTTATAGAGAACACATTGTACCGTAAGTAAGTAAAACAACAAGAGATCTTGAAAGTGTTTTTTTTTTTTTTATATTGGACGATTTCGGACACGACGAGGGAATTGTGTAGAGCGTGTCGTAACGGACGGATAATACACAAAATACAATTTTTAAAAAAAAATTACATACTTAGGCGGCTTTCTAAAGTTTTATTTATTTATTTATTTTTTTTTATGCGTATGACCGGCTGAAGAATCGTTGTTTCGTTTATATATATATATAATATACCTATACATATACATATATAAATATTATATAAAGAAACCTAATGGAATAATATATCATTACGATATAATGATAACATCTTCGGTTTTATAACAACAAAAAAAATTCTAATATTATTATAATATAAAATAATATATATATAATATATATTTTAAATATATAAAACGTTTTCATGGTAACGACAAGTCCACTTTTTATTTTTCCGATGGTGATGACGATGATGACGGGTGGGAGGGGGGGGGTGGTGATCGAGGGGAGAGAATTGGGTTTTCGTAAGTGTGTGAAAAAAACCCGAAATTACAAAATTATTCGACTTAAATTAAAACAAAAAACAAAAATTTGAGCTGCCCGCTTGCTTGGAAAAAAATAAAAATAAAAAACAAACCCGTTGTTGTCGGTCGACCCCGGCGGGTACGTTTTATCATCGATCAATATTATTAATGTTATATCTATATAATATATTATATCAGGTACATTCGTCTATTGTATAGGTTTTTTTTTTTTTGTTTTGTTTGTAAGCACTTTTTCGTTTTGGTTTCTCTTTTTTTTTTTCTTCAAAAAGACAAACATCACTGCAACAGGGTGGTGGTTTCTTCGCACCGGCCAACGGACGTCAGGTCGTAGTCGACGCCGTCGCGGTTTGCCGCTTTTGCGCGGTGCCTGTGATGATGCCTGTGCTTGTTGTGCCTCCGGCGCTTGGTGCTGTGCCTGTCGGCGCAGGCCGACGTCGTGGTGGCGGTGGTGGTCACTTCGCTCTGGATGGCCGGCTGCTGGTTGGACAGGCTCAACACCGAGCCCCAATCGATGTTGTCGCCGTTGCACTCCATGGACGACGCGGCGTTCCGGCCGTCGTAACTGTCCGCCGAGTCGTCCGAACTGCCGCCGTCGTCGTCGTCGTCGTCTTCATCCTCGTCGTCGTCGTCGTCGTCGTCCTCGTCGTCGTCGTCGTCCTCATCGTCCTCGTCGTCGTACTCGTCCGTGTTGTAATCGATCGAGCCGTTGACGTGGTAATAATGGTTCAGGTGGTTCACGTCGTCTTCGTCGTCCTCGTAGTAGTACTCGTCGTCCACGCCGGAGTCTATGGACTCGGCGGTCGTGCTGCCGCCCCTGTCCGACGGGTACGGGGTGGGTGCGCGCCTGTGCTGGTGGTGCTGCTGGTGCGTGCCGACGATCTGCTGGTGGGCGGCCGCGGCCGTCGAACGGCTGGCCGCCTCCCGGGACATCTCGCGCTCGATCAGCCGCAGCGTGTTGCAAATCAGCACGGACCTCCGGAGGCCGCCGGCCTCGCACTGCGAACCGCCGCCGCCGCCGGATTTGCCCAGCTTGCGCATGGACACGTCGAACACGGCGGCCCTGCGCCGCCTGTAGTATTCCCGTTCGCAGCAATCGTTGATGCCGGCGCCCAGGCCGGGCGCGCCGTGGCCGTTGGCCGCGGCCGAGGAGGAGGTGGTGGTGGTGGTGGTGACGGCGGCCACCGGCGGCGTCACCGAGACGGCGCCGCTGCCCAGGTCCAGGTAGCACTTGCCGTTGGTGTCGCACTTGATGGTCTGCTGCTGCCGCCAGTGTCCGTGGTGGGTGGGCGCGCTGGTCAGCACGGTCAGGCCGCCGCCGGCCGGCAGGTACTGGTCCTCGTCGTCGTCCGTGTCGTCGTCCACGTCGGCGGCCACCAGCGAGTCGTCCAGGTCGGACGTCGCCATCATCATCATGCGGTCGTCCGCCGCCGCGTCGTCGTCGTCGTCGTCGTCGCTGTACCGGCGGTGGTGCCGCCTCGGGATTTTGGGCGCGTGGTCGTCGTCCAGGGACGTCGACGACGACCTCTTGCAACCTCCTCCGCCGTACGTGGAACTGGGAGGCGGCAATCCCATATTGTTCAGAATGATACTCTGCAAGGACAAGAGAAAAAAAAAAACGCACGCTATTAGTTTCATATAATCGCTTTTGGGAGTCTAAAAAAAGTAGATTTTCTTTTCTGTACTTCAAACATCTCCTACAAATATTTTATTTGTACAGGTGGCGCAATCTATGGCCGTCTGCTGATGAGTGGAGTAATGAAAATTGGAAAAAAAAATTTAGCAAGTGCCCAAACTGAACAAAAATCAATTTTTTCCTTTCTATAGCCGGGTCGGTTATGAGCAATAGCGCAATAGCCTCGGGTCTAAATGAACAAAAAATAATTAATGGGTTCTTTTGTGTGTTTTTTTTCCCACATAGATGGCGCTGATCTATCTACTACGGTAATCCCGAAAATGGGTAATATTGTTTTGGATTTTTAGCGCCAAAAAAAAAAAAAATAAACCTAATTTCGATTGTAGATTTTGTTTTACACAAAAACGTTTTAACAGGAAATACTAAGGCTCTTTTGTTGTTGTCCACACACAACACATAATACATTTGCTAGATAATAATAAATAAAATAATATACTGTTATTATTGTTATTATCGTGTTGCGGATATCTCGGTATATGTACTTTCTCCACACGCACAGCTCCTATTTATATATATATATATTATAAGAATAATATAATTCATAAATATATATATACGTGTGCTCGCTTTCTCTCGGCCGCCGCCGCCGCCGCAGAGTATCTCTTTTGTGTCGGTTGTCGTTGTTATTGTTATTGTTATTATTGTTATTTTCGGCCTGTCGGTTTGATAACGGGCCCGCGCAATTATTATATACCCCTGCCTTCCCCTCGTTCCACCCCTCTTCCCTGTATGTGATATAACGTTTCCCTTTATTAATAATAACACTAAGACTACTCTAAATATATTCCCTGTATTGTTAATATTATAAAAAATTATAACTTAACATTAAAATAATAATATTATATTTGTAATAAAATGTGTTTTAAAAATAGTCTTTTTAATACGTGACATATATATCAGTTAAATACGTATTAAAAGAACAGTTTTTTTTTTTTTTTAAGAAGCAAACGTAAGTATAAAAAAATATACCTAACAAAGAAAAACTATCCACGTACACGCCAGTTTTCCGGGTAATCGGTTTGCGCGGGAAACTTGCGGGGCCACCCACCCGACACGACCTACCCGCGCCGCCACCCCCTAACGATAACGGCGCGCCGCGTCCCGACCGACGTCCGTTACAAGTTTAAAAATCATCGTACCGGCGGCGGCGGCGGCGGCAGCGCCCGCTGCTTGACGACGTTACCGTTACTAATTATTATTATTATTATTATTATTTTGTTTATTTTTTTTTTCGCTTACCGTGGTCGAGTCGTTGTCGTAACAGGTGTCGTCGTCGTCGTCACTCCACATGCGCACCACAGGCGTGTAATCGTGCTGGTGTTGTTCCGCGGACGTGACCGATGGTGCACTGGACAGTACCGTCGTCGTCATTGGTAACGCGTCTGCGGCTACAATTACCACCACCGTTACTGCAGCAGTAGCTGTTGTTGGTCGTCGGCAACACGGATTCTGGTCGGCGTCGGCGTCGGCGGCGCCGGGCCAACATTATATTTTATCGCAACCGTGTGTCAGCCGCGACGTTGGTCCGCGAAAACGCACAATAAAAATAAAAACGCAGTCCGAGGGTTGTTTGTCGGTTATTTCCCCTCGACAACAAAACGTCGCTTGCTTTTTTTTTTGGGTTTTCCCTCCCCCGGAAAAAAAAAACGCGAACCGAATAATATTTTTATTTATTTTTATATATTCATGTACAACACAAAACGATATTGTGGACGGCCGAAAAACCGCGTGAGCTACGGGCGGGCGACGTGCACGGCGCTGTACTCGTGAATGGTCGTGTACGCGGTGAAGTCGACGTGCCTCTGTTGCTGCTCCCGCCATCGACGCCGCCGCCGCCACCCTTCGTCCCACCGTGGCCGCCGCCGCAGCCGTCCCACTCGTATGAATAATATGCGTTCACCGGCCGCAGCGCGCTCTGGCCAGGAAAACGGCGGCCGCATATCGTTACGCGTTCACGCACCACGTGTGCTGCACCGCCGAGCCGCGCCGAAGGGGTAGGGGGTGATTGCACACACACACACACACCGTCACCGTCACCGCCGCCGCCGCCGCTGCGTTTTTTCTGTATTCTCTACTCTCCTCTCTGATCACCGGCCGAGTCGTTGGGATTTTCTCCATCACCGTCGTGGCCGCCGCCGCCGCCGCCGTCGACCTCGGCGTTTCTCTCTCTCCGCGTCGCGCGCCTTGGACGTCGCCCACCCGTCCGCCTACCGGGGCCGGGGCCGCGGCGCGTGCATGCGGATCTATCTCTGTACACGCGCCGCCGACTTTGGATACATAATATATTGTATATATATAGGAAAAGTACGGCTAAAATAAATAGACGAGTGCCCAATTTTTACGCTAAAATAATATAGATATGCGCATAGCGATGGCCACCGCAAAATGGTGACGGGCAAACGGCGAGCCGGCCGTTCCGACTGTGTAGTCACTTTTTCGGTTCACTAAAACATATTTTGCTGTGACTTTTTCGCCGGCTTACCTGTTTTTCAGAGTATTAATTTTAACTGTGAAAAAAAACCAATCACTAATAAGATAAGGCGTTTAAAAAATATATTTTTTTAGCATAATTTTTGGAACTAAGTTCCTTGTTTTTACAAAATTTTCTTTCTAAACTTTTTTGAAGGAATTGTGTTCAGAAATGATGTGTTTTTCGAATTTATCGACCAAACATACTTACACTGGTCAAGTTCGGCTAGTTCGAATAGGTCGGATGGGTTAGGTTAGGAGGTTCAAATGGACAAAATATATGTATATTAATTTTGTATACTTTGATAGAATGGTACACAAAGAACGGGCGTGTGTAATATTGTGTTTGGTTTTTAAAAATAAGAATAATTATTGTAATCTGAGAAAATATTCCGTTACCAACTGTTGCAGCAATTTGTCAGTGTGTGTATTAATTTTTTTCTTCGTCTTCTCTTCGTTTTCATACATAATATGAATTACTTTTGTTTAAATGTTACATTATTATTATTATTATTATTATAATGATATAAGTATGATGTAATACACATCCGGCTCCGGTCGAGGTCGACCGTTTAACTTGAGTGAATAAATTACAAATTTTACAATTTTCCAATGTCCTCTTCTCAATAAATAGCAAAAGGGTCAGGTTTTTGAAATCTATAGGTCCGTACTAACCTACCCTCCATCCGCCCCTTTCTGGATTTTTTTTTTTTTTAATTTCATATTTTTTTGTAATCGACTGGAAATTATTTTGTACATATATTTGATGAGCAAGTCCGTGGAAGTTCAAGTAAGGTAAGCAAGCAAACCCCGGGTACCCGCACGGGATAATGAAGCCTTTGTCGCGCGGTACTTTGTACACTTGTGTGCCAATTTCGGGGGAAACCCAAGACGGCGGCGGCGGCAAAAAGGGATAAAGGGGAGGGTCGGAGAGAGTGGGAGGGGGGGGGTGAGGGCTTAAGGGGGTGGAGTGTGCACGGTAAGTAATCTCGCGGTGAAACTTGAAGTTACCCGCACGAGTGTGTCTCGTTATGGCGAGAACACTCGGCGGCGTTCTTGAGATCTGCCACTGAAACCTCTTGCGGTTTTTTTCTTTTTTTTTTTTTTTGCCGTCAGCTTTTTTGTTTTTTATCATATTTTTTTAAAAAATTTTATCGAGTTGCTTTTGCGATTACACGCGTTATGTAGCACATCAATAAGATACGAAATAATAATACAATGGATTTTTGATATTAAAAATAATATATATTTTATATACAATTAATATATGTAATTATATTAATAATACAAGATGTACTTATGTTATTACAAATGTTACATAATATATACATATTCCACCTGTTGGCTATATTGGCTAAAGATAATTAAAAATGTTTTCATATTTGCCAAGGATTCTATAAATTGTAATCGTGAGTGGGTGGAAATGGAAATGGGGTTGGGGGTGGGTGTGTATACGGAATTAATTTTGTTTGTTTATTTTATGGTAAAATATTTTGATAGTAATAATTATATGATAACTTATTGTTTGTTATGAAATCAAAAGAAGAATAGCTGATAGATGGGAGACGAGTGATTTGTGTGTGGAGAACAAAAAAAATGTTTCATCATTAGAACCGTTTTCTAGTTTTGTTTTATTTTTTTACCATAAAAAAAATGTACAACACAATATTATAATGATGTTCGCGAATGAATCGAAGAAAATGCTAGGATTTGTTTTTATTCTTAAAAAAAAAAAAAAAGGTTTATATGATAGTTTAGTGGGTTTGTTTTTTTTTATCAAAATATCAAACGTTTTCATCTATTTTGGTCCATAGCATTAGCAATTTTGTATTTTTTTCATTAATCCAGTGAGTATCAACATTTATTTGTTTTTTTTTTTAACTGACAAACTTCTTATTAAAGATGTTTTTTTTTTTAAACAAAAAAAAGATATAGAAAAATGGGTTTTAAAAATCTGAAAAAAATATCTCTTCATCCAAATCATATATTTTTAAGAGAAGAACAAAAAATAATGAATTAAAGTTTTTTTTTTTAATTACCATTATTATTTACGGTTAATCTCCTGACTTGGATCATTTCAAACCTTTTGAAATAAATTTCACAAAAAATAAGATTTTTGTTTTTTATTTTATTTTAATTTGTTCCATTTTTATTTATTATCTATTCAAAACAAAGTATTTAAAATTTTTAAAACTAATAAAAAAAAAGATAACATAAAAACCATAATAATTGTCCGCAAGTAATAAATAATTAATGAATAAAAGACCATTTCATTATCTAGCTCTATACTCAAACAAAAAAATCATTTAAAAAATACCCAATTAAAAATAAATTTAGTAATATCAATTAATTTTGGAAATTTTACGTTATTTATTCAATTTGGTTGTCAAATGGTTGAAACGGGTCAAACTACTGTAATATATATATTAAACAATTTTTAGAATAATCAACGTTTCAAATTCAAAAATTATACAGTCTTTCCAAAATAACCTACTTTAAGGAAAATAACGAATTGCCCGCCATGTATTGGATGTATCTAATCACACATTGCACAATGACTTACATATGAAAACCGTTCAGGAAGAAGCAAAAAAACGGTCTCTTGTATACAAGTCTTATTGGATAGAATGAAGGCATGTGAAATTCTTCATTACAGACGGCAAAGCATAAGAAATTAGTAGGTACATCTTTCCAATAAGGTTAAATGTTTGTTAAATGATTGTTAGTTTTATCAGGCCCCATGACACTGATAACAGTTAACACGGGTAAGATTATTCTTATCACACGAAAAAGCGGCGGCCATCTTGTTGGTCGTCGCAGTGTGACCATTTTCGGAATTCTGCGCAAACACCGATAACAAAATTTTACAAAATATCTATACCGTGGTTTTATAGCAGCTATAGACGGTTTAAATTGTTTTTTTAAATAATTTATTATAATGTTTCAACGTGTTTCACATCTTTGGTCGGAGCAAAACGAAAATCTGCGTAACGCTCTCTTATCACTCTTACCATTTCAACCGAATCGCTGATAACAGATTAGTGATAAGGGATAGCTAAGAAGAGATTTGCTATAAATTCACAGTGTGCATATAATAACAATAATGGATATTGTTAATTGTTTTACGGTTTATGTGAAAAGGATTTGTTTGGAAGAAATGCATTTGTTTGAGATACAACAAAAGTACATGGAAAAAAAAAACCGTCCTATTTTTTTTTTGTCGCCCTTCAACAATGTCGCGTTTGCCGGCAAGTCCAAAATGTGTTTTAAAATTTTCGTTCATACAGACATGCGGGAAAATTCGTCACGGTCTAAAACTTTGGTAAAACGTGTACGATATCATTATGAATACAACGATATTTATACGAGAAACGAGTTTCGCAAAAATAATTTATTCAACAGTTCCTCGAACTGCCTCTGCTTTGAAGCTGCTGCTGCTGAAACTCATATTTTAGTCGACGAAAATAATAATATGCAAAATTATGAAGAAGAAAAAAATTATATTAAAAAGTTTTGCTGGTTTTTTTTGGAAAAATATATTACATTTCATGGAAGAAACAAACTTGTAATAGTTATCAATATATATATAAATCATTTTTATTCCTCGAAAAGGACCGAAAAACGATAAAAGTTATAATTTATTAACCGCGTAACTCTTCTGAAGGTCTCACGGGTCTAGGCCATTTTTTTTTTTTTTTAAGGCGTTGGTCAATAATTTGTACTTGATTATTATTGCTATTGTTATTGTGGGATAAGATATTATTTGGAAAATTGACTTTCCACTCAACTTAATTGAACAGCTCGGCCGCCGTGTAGTTGGGTGGTTTTGTAAACGTCAAAAACAGATATTATGATAATTTTGAATATAATAAAAACCAATCCCTAAAAGGAAGTGGTCGATTTTCTTTTCGAATAATTATTTCAAGCAATATCCATCCCTTCTTGTTTAACATAAATTCAACAACAGACCATTTTGTTAATTATATTGGCTGCCAAAATATTAATATTTTATTTTTATAAAAATATATATATATTATACAATGTAGATTTATATATTTATATATATACTTTGCACAATCTGTAAGTAATCATTATTCTTTTTTTTTTTAATGTATGTAGGAAAAGTAAAATTCTAGCTGGTTTGATTAGTGTTTGAATTTCTCTATTCCTTTTTTTTTTTTACTGTACAAAAGCAATTTTCAAATTGCAGCAAAAAAAAAAACAACAACCATTTCGACCTCTAAACGAGTAGGTACATTAAAAACAGTGTTTTAAAAAAGTGTACACGGATAATGTGGTGCTCGTGACGAAAATTGAAAAAG